AGTGAGCTAACATAATTATTATCACACGAAACACTCATGCATTTATACATATTCTCACTTTTGCCTCCACTCCTTGAGCTCTCACCCTTAAAATTGGTTGCCTCAAGTTTTTTCTTTGTCTTCTTTTTCTTTCTTCTTTTCTTATGCTTTTTCCTCCATTCTCGCTATTCTATCAAGGCGCCTCCATTCCACATCACTTATCCTACCATCCAAGAATGATGCAGTGAGCTAACATAATTATTATCACACGAAACACTCATGCATTTATACATATTCTCACTTTTGCCTCCACTCCTTGAGCTCTCACCCTTAAAATTGGCTACCTCAAGTTTTTTCTTTGTCTTTTTTTTCTTTCTTCTTTTCTTATGCCTTTTCCTCCATTCTCGCTATTCTATCAAGGCGCCTCCATTCCACATCACTTATCCTACCATCCAAGAATGATGATAATGAAGAGTAAGAGTAGTTGCTCGCTGTGTGTGATGAAGTAGAAGAGAGGGTTTGAGTAGCAGCTACAGGTTTGTTTTGTAGTGAGTGATGAAGAGGAAGAGGGATGTGGTTATTTATTCATAAACATAATTTAAAAAAATTAACTTATTCATGAGTGGGTGACCGTTGTTATCAATCAACTTCTCAGAGTGAGTATGAAATTTTGAGCAACATAGAGAGGAAGAAGAAGACGTGTGACAAGAGGAATCGCTGCAGTGAGCTAACATAATTAAAAACGTGCTGTACAATAATACAACACATTACTTCTCCAAATTCATCCAACTTGATCGAAATAAAACACACAAGAGAAACATGAGTACTCAATCAAGTGAAGAAATTATTATCACACATCACACAAAACTCTCATGCATTTTTACTTATTCTCACTTCCGCCTTCATTTGCTGACCTCTCACCCTTAGAATTGGCTCCCTCATGTTTTTTCTTTGTCTTCTTTTCTTATGCATTTTTCTCCATTCTCGCTTTTGTATCAAGGCGCCTCCATTTCGCATCACGTATCTTACCATCCATGAATGATAATAATGAATGGTAAAAGTAGTTGCTCGTTGTGTGTGATGAAGTGAAAAATGGGATTTGAGTAGCTGCTGCATGTTGGTTTTGTTGTGTGTGATGAAGAGGAAGAGGGGTGGTGTTATTTATTCATAAATGTAATGAAATGAATTAACTTACTAATGAGTGGGTGACCGTTGTTATCAATAAACTTCTCAGATTGAGGATAAAATTTTGAGCAGGATAGAGAGGAAAAAGAAGACGTGTGATAAGAGGAGTCGTTGCAGTGAGCTAACATAATTAATCGTACAGTACAATAATACAACACATTACTTCTTACTTCTCCAAATTCATCCAACTTGATTGAAATAAAACACACACGACGAGAAACATGAGTACTCGATCAAGTGAAGAAATTGTTATCACACATCACTCAAAACATTAATGCATTTTTACTTATTCTCACTTCTCTCTCCACTTGCTGAGCTCTCACCCTTAGACTTGGCAGCCTCATGTTTTTTCTTTGTCTTCTTTTCTTATGCATTTTTCTGCATTCTCGCTATTCTATCAAGGCATCTCCATTTCGCATCACGTATCTTACCATCCCTGAATGATGATAATGAATGGTAAGAGTAGTTGCTCGTTGTGTGTGATGAAGTGAAAGATGGGATTTCATTTCGCATCACGTATCTTACCATCCCTGAATGATGATAATGAATGGTAAGAGTAGTTGCTCGTTGTGTGTGATGAAGTGAAAGATGGGATTTGAGTAGCTACTGCATGTTGGTTTTGTTGAGTGTGATGAAGAGGAAGAGGGGTGGTGTTATTTATTCATAAATGTAATGAAATGAATTAACTTACTAATGAGTGGGTGACCGTTGTTATCAATAAACTTCTCAGATTGAGTTTGAAATTTTGAGCAGGATAGAGAGGAAAAAGAAGACGTGTGACAAGAGGAGTCGTTGCAGTGAGCTAACATAATTAATCGTACAGTACAATAATACAACACATTACTTCTCTAAATTCATCCAACTTGATCGAAATAAAACACACAGGACGAGAAACATGAGTACTCGATCAAGTGAAGAAATTGTTATCACACATCACTCAAAACACTCATGCATTTTTAATTTTTCTCACTTAACCCCTCCACTCTGTGAGCTCTCACCCGTAGACTTGGCTGCCTCACGTCTTTCTTTTTCTTTTTTGCCTTTTTCTCCATTTCGTTATTTTATCAAGGCACCTCCATTCTGCATCACTTATCGTACCATCCATAAATGATGATAATTAAGGGTAAAAGTAGTTGCTAGCTGTGTGTGTTGAAGAGGAAGAGAGGGTTTGAGTAGCTGCTTTAGGTTGGTTTTTGTTGTGTGTAAGGAAGAGGAAGATGGGTGGGGTTATTTATATACAAGGTGAGAGAGAGAGAGAGAGAGAGAGAGAGAGAGAGAGAGAGAGAGGAGAGAGAGAGAGAGAGAGAGAGAGGTTGACTCACATCACATGCATGCATTTATTAGCTAGATAGATGAGACTTCTTCTTTTGCTGTTTTACTTGAAAAAAGCCCGAGTAAGGTCAAGACATCAAGTTTTGTAGGGTTGGTCATTTATACCGAAAACCCGACCGAACCGGCCGAATTGGATTGGTTTTGGCTGATTTATCTGGTTTTTTAATTAAAATTGTTGAAATCGAAAGAAAAACTGGGCGACCCGATGGTGAATCAATTTTGAACTGGTTTGAATTTTTTTACACCGGCGAAACCCGAATTGGACCGCTTCCATGTAAATTGCCTAAAAATTCAGAGTAAGTGCGCTGATGGGGAATCGAACTCTATTTAGATTATAGATACAAGGCCCAAATACCACTGGACTGATGCGTCTTCCTATGCAATGTGTGTATAATTGTAGTATTTATTACAATCTAAAAGAATTTTAAAAAAATATATATATAGGGTTTCCCCTGCCCCACAAACTCTCCTTTTCTTTTTGTTTGGTTTCTCCCAACCGTCATTCCTTCTTTCCTCTCTTCTCTCTCCATCATTTTCTTCTTTCTTCTTCCTCCCGCCAATTGCATCTTCTTCTTCTTTCCTTCTTCTTCCTTAGCTTCTTCTTCTTTTCTTCTTCTTCCTCCCCATACCCCCAACCATGAAGTGGTCCTCAAGCCCTCAATCTTAGTTCAATCCTCTGCCATCGATGCTCGCCGAACCAAACCGCATTGCACCAAATTCTCGGCGTGCCGATTGTAGTCGGTCTTGCATCTCCTCGGCGTGGTAGCAGTCTCCAAAATAGGTACGCAGATGACCTCCGGTTTGGCGGCCGGCAACTCTTCCAAGCCACGGTTATCGAATCGTGAACACCCCTAAAGTTTTGTAACGTATTCTAAAATCAGCAAACTGACGAAAACATCATCAATGAGTGCCAAGTAATAATACTCATATGCTGCCAGGAAAAATTACATATTCGAACATCTGTTAAAATTCCAATTATTTGTTAACCAAATTACTTTCTTATCCACAAGCAATGGCATGGCTGGTCCAAATACCCTCAGTAAACCTCTCTTCCTTTATTGGCAAATCTAGAAAGCAAGGAATAACTTGGTCAATATGGCAACCCAACCCCACCCTGCTCGTGTTCTTAACATGGCGGTCATTTGGAATTTGAGTTTTGGTTGCATAATTTCAATAGGAAGTGCATGCAAGATTGCCAATCCTAGTAACCCCATTAAGTGGCAGCCTCCTTCTAATGGCTAACTTTGATGGCTCTGTGCTCATTCCCACTTAAATATCCAAAACTCACAAAAAATAAAAATAAAAAAAATACATTTATACAAAGTCTACACGTCCTTTAATATGAGGAAGTGAAAGAACCTAGGCCAAGAGGAGGTTCCTTGTTTGGCATATCAATCATTTGCTCAGAAGTTAGAAGCGCAACACATCCATCCAACCTTTTCCATCCATTTAGTATCTTGGTAGTGGCACACCTACGCATCTTGAAGAAGAATGACCAAAAGTTCATTCCATTGGCCACCTTGGTTGAAAAGAGGGAAACACCATCCTTACTAACGGTAGCCCTGGTTAGCAAACTACACATGTGATGCTATCATAAACATGAATTAGTTTTAATAACTAATGTGATCACATAATAAGAAAATCTATATGTGCCTCAATTTAGTTATAAGAACTTCAAAGATTTAATTCATCCAAGTATATATCCAATAAACAAAGCCAAAAAAAAAGGGAAAAAAAAGCATTTGGTGGTATAGTTTAGATGACAAATACAATATATGACCACAATTCACAAGTAAGGCAGTGACACCAACTTTTTTCAGACCAAAAAATAACCTAACCTCCAAATCTGGCAAAGGGTCAAGTGATTTTTTTAATAAATTGGTGCTTGCAATTGTCATAGAGCAATGCAAGGAGAGAGAGAAAAATCCAAAAATAGTAGAGAATTAATATCCAACAAAATTAACTATAATATGGCAAGGAGAGAGAGAACATAGCTGAGTTTTTAATCTTTGAATTTGAAGTATCTGCTAGCACATAAATTGAAATAATTGAAAGAATTTGAAACTTTGTAGAGAGCAACTTGAGAGTGCAACCGTGAGCAAATTGAAAGAACTTTTGGATAAAAGCGAAAAAATAAAAGACTTTTCGGGGTCAAAACATAAGTTTTGAAACCTTGTGGACAGATTTGAAATGTTTTTAAAAATTGGGGTTAAATTTGTAAACAGTAACTCTTGTAAACCTACCTTCAGCCGCAGCAGCATCGCATTTGTAAACCCACAGCCTCTGGTTCGTGCTTTTCTTCTTCTCTCCCTCCACGTTCTTTTCTTATTTTGGCTCTTGTTGAGTTGTGATTGAGAACGATTCTTGCAAACTGTTATCCAGGTGAGGCTTTGCACCTTCTGATTTTTTTTCTCTGTTTTCTTATCATATTTATTTGTTGAACTCAATCATGTAATACGAGATTATATCTCTGCTTTCTTCATAGTCTCCTGCGAGCTACAAAAATGGTGAGGCCATATGCAGTGAAGGGAAAGAAGCGAAGGAAGAGGGAAGATAAATATGACAGAGTAGAAGAAGCAGAAGAAGCAAAAGAAGTAGAAGAAGCTGAAGAAGCGTCAGAACCAGAAGAAACAGAGGCTTCACAGCCAGAGGACGTTAACAAGGGAGCTATGGTTGAGAAACAGAGAAATGGAAACGAAGGAGAAGAAAAAGTGGGTAACCCAATTGAACTTGAGGGTATTCCAATAACCCCAGTAGAACTTAGCACCAAGAACGGACCTGGGGCTATCTTCATCCTTGAGAGAGCTTCTTTGGAAGTTGCCAAAGTTGGAAAGGTACAATTTCATTGTTATTCTGTTATTTATGCTTATTTTTGTGTTTTCATTTGTATGTTTGGATAGAGGAGCTGGTGGGGTAGTCCACAGAGGGACAAAAGGGGTCGGTTGACCCCGTGAACCCACCCATGTCCTTAATGGAAGCTCCAATCTCGACCCATTGGACGGTTGGTTGGCGACCCCAGAGTGCACACCAAGTGTTCGCTGAAATGATCCCCAGAGAGAGGGGTCTTCTGTTATGTTTCTGTTATGTTCACGGATTTCACTTAACAGCCTCAGGCACTTCTAAATCATAGAGGTGCTGCTGTGAATGCGAAGAAGAAGGCCTTTCTTTTTCTCAAATAATTTCACACTAAGGGGTTCGCATTGCTTTTGGGTTTCTATGCCATTAGTGAAACGGTCTGTTTGGATTGTAAACAAAACGTAGTGCTGTTTCAGTTGTCTCCTTAATGATTTGTGTTTAAAAAGGAAAACCCACCGTTTGTTTTGTATCAAAATAAGTCAGCACACCCCTTTTCTATTCTTCCACTCCAACCATGTAGAAACGAAGCTAAAAAATTAAGCCAGCACACTGTTTGTTTCTAATGATAATATATTTAATGGGAATGAAATTTATGATTTATTCACATTGGTTTGATTTATTAGAGTAGTTTTGTTTATTGGTTGATTATTGTTTAGGGGCTTTTTGTTTGGTTAATTGATATAGGGTTTTGTGTTTTGATTAATACGTTGGCCCACAAGATATTTTTCCATGAATTATGAATGATAGTAGTATTGATTATGAGAACTGATCTTGTGATGTTGTTTTTCCATGAATTATGAATGATAGTAGTATTGATTAATTTTACGGGGTACTTTTCGTTAAAATAAAAATTGGGAATTTGTACACTTTGGCCCCTCGGGGTATAAATCCTGGATTCGCCAAGTGCTTAGGCTTTTCTGGCTTGGGTTTAGTTTGTTTCTTCAGTGTTGGTGTTGCTTTGCCTTCTTTGAACCCTTTGTCTTTATTCTAAAAAAATTTGAACTTTTTTTCTTCTTACAGACTTATCAGCTACTGAATTCTGATGATCACTCAAATTTCTTGCGGAAGAACAACAGAGATCCTGCTCTTTACAGGCCCGATATCGTTCATCAGGTTAGCAACTCCGGCTAATTGTCCCATGTATATTGTATTCCATGAAATTTTTCTTTATGAACTTCATACACTTTTCTCTTGTTTTTTTGTTTTTTTTGTTTTTGTTTTTGTTTTTGGGTTTAAATTATTGTGAATAAGCTTAAAGTGAACTCATTCCTGTAGTAGCAAAATAAAAGAAAGCAGCTTGGTAGAAAACAAATTGGGATAAACTCGGAAGTTGTAGACATCAGGGGTTGTAAATCCTACTCACGACATCTGATGGAAATTCCTTGTCTTTCTTCTTTTATGCCCTTGTTTTGTACTTTGGAAGGTTAAAAGTTCCTCCTACTGGTTTTGGCTTGAACTATTGCTCATAGGAGGGTTAATACACGTGTCATTTTTCAAAAAGGGGTGCTGAGTGCAGATCACCTCTTTCTTCATTGCCTGGTTGCTTCATTTTTATGGGTTAGGCTGTCTAGAGAGTTTGATTTGAACTGGGTTGTTCTGGAATATTGTGTGGCTTTATCATGTGTGCACCACAATGTTTTGGAGGTAGGAAGAGGGGTGTGTTCCCGTGTAAATGTGCTATAATAGCTATTTTCTGAGTAATTTGGATGGAATGGAATACAGGGGTGTTTCATGGTGCTAGGGGCAGGAGTGGGAATACGTGTGGGAGAGGGTTCAATTTTGTGCTTCATTATGGCTTGGCTGCCGAAAGAGTTTAGGGGCAATTCTTTCATTGCTATCTTTTCTGATTGGTGGGCTGCTGCTTCCTAATGCTTTGTTCTGTTACTCTGGATGTATTTTTCTGTATTCTTGTTTTCTGTTTCTGTTTTTGATTCATTTAATCAATGAATTTTCTTTCCTATTAAAAAAAGAGGATTTATTGTTTTGCTTCTAGTATACTGAAGTGTTATGTGATCCTAACTAAATATTTGATATCTCCAGGCTCTCCTTATGGTTTTGGATAGCCCAATTAATAAAGCTGGGAAGTTGCGAAATGTGTATGTGAGAACTGCAGCAGGTGTTCTTATTGAAATTAAGCCACATGTTCGTATCCCAAGGACATTTAAGCGGTTCTGTGGTGTCATGTGTAAGTTCATCTGTATTTCTGATCTTGTACAAAATAATTTTTCTCTGTTTACATTTTGTGGATGGCATTTTGTCATTATTTTAATCCTGCCAACCACCTTGCAGTGCAACTGCTACAAAAACTGAGTATTTCTGCTGTTGGTAAGCGTGAGAAACTTATGCGTGTGATAAAGAACCCTGTGACACAGTATTTACCTGTCAACTCTCGCAAAATAGGTGAGTATATCATGGTTTATAATCAATTTTGTCATATCTATAATGAAAACTGAAGATGTATTCTTGTGTTTCAGGCTTCTCGTACAGTTCGGAAAAATTAGTTAACATACAGAATTATGTTGCTGCTGCTGAAAACAATAGAGACTTTGTTTTTGTGGTATGTCAGAACTAACATTTTGGCCATAAGTTCGAATATTATCTGTTTATACTTGCAGCTATGTTATAATACCTGTATTTTTCAGGTTGGTGCGATGGCTCATGGAAAAGTGGAGACAGACTATACTGATGATTTTATATCAAGTATGTCCTTGCTTTTCATTAGTATAATATTTAATATTTTTTAGGCATATTTTTCTTCTGCTGTTTTGAAGTTTGCGGAACCTTTTGATCAGTGTGACTTCCAAAGGTTAAAATAGTTCCAGTTTTGAACTGATTGAAGGATTAGAATTTTGACAAGACTACATTGATCAGAAGAACATAACAATACTAGAAACAATATTTGTGAAATGTTTAGGCACAAATGCAAACATTTATCCGTTGTTAACATTCCATTCAAGAATTGAAGTCAATAACATATTAACTAATACTCTTAGGTTTGAAATCTCATATGTGGTAAGTGAGATGATAAAATGAAAAACCTGATGATCAAAATGTGCTTCAATTCAAGCACATAACTGTACGTTTATGCAATCTTTATCCTCAAACGGCAAGTCAATTTCTGCTTCATGCTTTGGTCTTTATTTCTTAATTCTTAATCTTGTTTTGAACTTCAAATTTTTAATGCTTGTGGCTATGTTATTGAATTCAGTGATATGCAATTTAACACATCTTATTTTATCAATTTTTGCAGTCTCTGGTTATCCCTTGAGTGCTGCATTTTGTATTTCGATGATTTGCCAAGCATTAGCGGGAAAGTGGGATATTTTGTGAACCATTCTTCTGGTTTTAGTCTGAATCCTAGCACTTAATGTTATTCTTATCTATGTGATGCATAATCTTTCAGGCTCATTGCTTTTAGGGATTTTGGAAGTGTTTGTATCAGATTATGTTCTAGCTCTGTGTATTATTTGATAAAACTTTTGAGGGTTATGGTGGAAATTTATACACATCTTCGTATGTAAATTAACTAACGGGCCAACTACATATAACCTCCAAATTATCAGGAAATTTGATACATGATGTGTAGATATTTTACAAGCTAAGACAAACTCGAATGAAATCTACGAATGGACGATTCTGATAACCTACATGTTTTTCCTTCTATTTTCTTGTAATACACTTTCCTTATGTTGTTTTTGACAACATTTGTATATTTTTCGAGATCAAATCCAAGTTCATTATGAAAACTTGACCATGACTATGTTGTTTTCAGCATTTTCAAAGAACATGAGAATTCAATTTCCCTCGCGTTATCTTAGGATTAGAGGACCACTACCGTGGAAATTCATCTCCTCACACATCGTAGATTACCACCGCCGACACCTGAGCTCAGGCCGTTTTATAGAGTAATATATCGTTTTTTTCCCTAAACTATACTGAACCATACAAAACTAGCCAATCCGCTCATATTGTCAAATTACTAGCAGTGCCATCCAAAATGCTGTCAAATAGAGTCACGTACTTAACGCATGACTCACTTTTGACGGCTCCTTAATCGTTTATTGCCGTATTCATTTTGGAAAGTCACATCATCAACACTTGATTTACTTTTGAGCACTTTTTGTAAAGAATATGACTTGAAATGATCAAGAGGTCCTCAAAAGTTAGTACATGACTCTACGACATCTTGAGTGGAATTGTTAGGAATAACGGTGAAGGGGGTAGATTGACCAATTTAGTATAATTCACGGGACAAAGTGGCTGAAGAAAGAAGTCTGGAGTTGACAAAGTTGACATAGTTCTAGGAGTAAAATGATAAGTTTTTTTTTTGGTTGGACGAAAAAATGCCAAGTTACTCGAAATCATAACATGTATATTAGTCTACAGTTCACCGCTCAAAATTATACACATGGCGTGCCGTTGTGTGTTTTCAAGTAAGGTCAGCTCCATCTACATCAAGAGCTCGTCACTAGGAAGAAGAAAGGTACCTTCTTTGCAATTATACAGAGGGAATCCGAGCCTGCAGCACATTGAAGGTCTCTAATTTGTCAAGCAACAAGATTCTTCTGATAAAAGAAAGCCCCCATGGTCCCCTACATTCTGGAATCATCCTGTTTGGAACAACCTCATTTTCGCAGTCATGGCGGCCCACAATTTTCAAGTACTTGCCGCCAATCAAATGCTTACTAGTTAGAGAGAAGAAAAAGTATAAAATACATCCATTGGGATTTATACAAATATGTCTACCACAACCACGAGTGATGTTCACAGCTTTAGTTTCAAGAATATATTAAGTGAATGTAGTGGTTGCCTTCACCATATATGTATTGTTAATAAGCTTTATAAATGGCTTATTTTAGTGAGAAAGAAGAAAGGGCATGTGGTTACCATGTGCCCTTTCATCAAATCCACGAGCAGAGGAGAAGGAATACATACCAGAGCTTGTGCCTCCCACACAAGCCACACGCATTTTGTGCTTCAAAGTCTTCTTCACCATTTAAAAAAAAATACAAATCAAAAGTGGGCCTCCTAAAACAAGAAGGGATTTCTATTTCGGAACAAAAAAAAAGGATATCCCTTTTATTTTTTAAAATTATTTTTTGAAACAAACATAGGGAAGGGAATTCGAAAACAAAAGCTAGGGTACATGGGTACGTAACTGCTCTTAATTAATTGAGCTACAAGCCCCTTTGATACAAACGATATTGCATTTGAGCTACAAACCCCTTGCAATATTCGTTTTATTTTCTTGTGTGTATCAGTCAGTTTGATGTATATTTGACTATGATAAATCCTCATTTGTGTAATGCAATACGTATTGTGATCATAAAAAAATGAGATCAAAAGTATCGTGGGATCAACTTAACTCTAAAAACTAAGAAAAAAACTCGAGCATTGCGTATTTTGAATATAATTGTGTGATCATATATATATATGGAGATATGTTCGAAGAAATCAACGAGACAAATTATATCATGCTGTAAACTTAATGGTTTGTGAGCAAATTAGTGGAATTGATTAAACACATTAAAAATTCAGGACCAAATAGCTCTAGATCTAGTAGTAAACATATACTGATCAAAGAGGACAAAGAGATGCTTTCGAGACAACGAAATCGAAAACAAGATTTTTGAGAAAGGAAAAAAAAACTAGAGGAAGTCGTGCAAATCAGTAATCACACGCTATAAAATTAAGAGAGAATAAGTGAGAGAGTAAGAGAGAAATTAGAGAATTAAAATTAGTGTACATCTATCTATAAGTTGAGGGCTTATTTGGATGATATCCCAAATTCTCTATTTTACACGAAAAATAATTTTAGTAAGTAGTAAATTTATAACGCCCCAAGAGATTTTAATTAAAAAAAATATTTATGTTGATGGAATGCTAGGGAGTAAACAAGCCGAACCAAGTCGAAGATCATAGTGCTCAAGCTTGCTTTGTTTCTTTTACGAATTACGCACTTTAGAATAAGGTGACTGCTCCGTTATTGTAATGGCCTTTTGTGGCTAGTTTGTACTGGCCCTTTGTGGCTAGTGATTTTTTTGGTTAAATTATGAATACAATCCTAGAATTTCTATAAATAAATAAAAATAATAATAAGATGACCATATTTGATGAAAGTTATATGTGGAATCCCTCCTCCCTCACTTAAGAATGGTCCCTAATCTTTTCAAAAGTCTTCATTTGAGTCCTCAAGTTTTTAAATCAATAAATGTGGTCCTTAATTGTTTTGGTTCACACATCAGTTTGGTCCCTCTAGTATCATTTTGTCAAACTCTTCGTTTAAATTGGTCAAGTGACCAACTTTAAAGCAATATTTTCGTCTAAATACAACCTATCCACCCATGATAAAAGTAAATAGGCTTTTTTTATTTTTTATAATCACAAATGGTTCCTGAGGTTTACGAAATTATCACATTTCGTCCCAAATTTTTTGTGTGACACTAAATGGTCCTTAAGGTTACCCTTTACACATAAAAATGGTTCATGCCGTTAGTTTTCGTCAAATTTTTTGTTAAATTGCTGACGTGGCACATCCAATGATATAGAGCCACGTGGTTTTAAATATAATATAATATAATTTTAAAACTTAAAATTCATAAATAAAAAAAAATTAATTAAAAGCAACTTAAATGTTTTTATATATTTTTAAAACAAAAGTACAAAGCAACTATGTGCCAAATATGGGTAAATCTTCTCCAATGACCAAAAACAACATGTTGAATTGATCTAGAGAGAATCACACACAACCCAAACAATGACTAAATCCCCGATCCAGCAACCAGAAGCACATGTACTCAGACCTACAATACAAATTTGTTGTGCAGCAGTAGAAACGGCAAATTTGTATTGAAAGCCAAAAGCTAAAAAGAAATAAAAATTATAAATAGAAAACAAATCACAACAAACTCCTAAAGAGTTTCTAAAAATTATTAGTCCAAAACAAAACTAAGAAACAGGATCACTACTCCACATCTTCCGGGCAACCCGAAGAAAATCATAGCGCCATACTGGCTAAACTCATAGTCCCGCACTGGCTAAACTCTAACCCATGGTCCGCTAAGATTTTGAAGGCCTTGTGCGAAACTTAAACTAGAGCCCTCAATTTAATATCAAAATATTTATAAAAAAATTTGACATGACTTAACATCATAAAATAATATTTTTAATAACTAAAATTCATCATCTATTAGCATGGCACAATATGGACTCGAATCCAACTTGCCTACTAAAATCAAGGGGATGAAGTTCAACTCAACCAAATACATACTTGTTTTACGTTCCTACACGCTCAAGTATACATATAATACTTATAATATTAATATACATAATATACAAGTAAAAAAATTTCGGCGCCCTTAAAAATAGGGGGCCCTGTGCGGTGGCACTAGTTGCACACCCTCAGAGTTGCCCCTGCCCTATCCCAATGCACCCAGACATCTTCCCCTGTTTAGAGCTCCAAATTATGTCGAAGGAGGCCAACTCCTTGTGTACTTGGGCCAAAATACATTGACTATATCATGGCGACGACATCGTTTCACAGCGATTGCTTTCACATCACAAAATAAACTAACAATCTTGAGGGAAAATGGAGGGAAGGAGAAAAGAAGGGATGAAAGGAGAGGGGAGGCGGCGACTAAGACTTTTTTCCTTAGAATTTTCTCAGAGAGTGTTTAGGGTTTTCATTCGCCCATAGAAATAGAAAATGTATATATACTGAGAATGAGAATGGAATGGAAGGGAGTAATTTGATCAATAGGCTTAAGCATAATGACGATAGGTAAATTTTTTTTTTGGGGGTCTGAATATAGTATTTATAATTCACCTAAATGAATAAAGCCATTCGTCATGTCCTTACAAGTAAACCTGTGATGAGTATTTATATTGGAGGAATTAGCTTATTCCTCTCCCAGCTTTTATTTAATAAACAAATCTTTATGTGGGAACCTGTGTATTTATGCCTATCTATAAATATTCATGTCAAGATGATCGTATTTCCATGTAAAATTATCAAGCCCAACCACATCACCATGGCATTGTCTCCTTTCACCGTTGGACTGGCCTTAGAGGAAAATTCCATAAACCACAACCACACGATGATGATCAATGAAGACAACGAATCTGCGGAGTCATTTCTTCATTGTCTTTCTCCTCATCAACAAGTCGATCAGTTTGAGCTCACACCGTCTTCACCTATGAGCGGTGGCGGCGACCTCACGGTGGTTAAGAAGCTTAACCACAATGTCAGTGAGCGCGATCGGCTCAAAAAGATCAACACTTTATATTCCACTCTTCGTTCCTTGCTTCCAGCATCAGATCAAATGGTATGTAGTGTAGTGTACACACTGATTAATTCATTAATTTTTTTTATTCAACCGTCCATGATCAATTAATTTCTTGCAAATTGTTGTAGTGTTTTATAGAGTTGCCAACTTTGCGTACACAATGTATTATGTGAGTATCCAATCCAAATTCCAGGCCCAAGATAGGCCAGGCTTTAATTCCCGGACGTGGAATTCACACTCTTAACAACATGTGCAGAAAAAACTAAGCAATCCAGCCGCAATTTCACGGACCGTGAAATACATACCGGAGCTGCAACAACAAGTGAAAGGACTGATTCAGAAAAAGGAAGAACTGCTATCAAGACTTCGTAGGTTGCAGCAGCAGGAAGATCCAATTTACAATGAGAAGCAAAGCAGAAGTGCAGCTTTGAGCTCCTTATCTGCTTCTGCATTTGCAGTGAGTTGGTTCAATGACAGAGAAGTTGTGCTTCAGATTTCTTCATATGTGGTCCAGAAGAGTCCATTATCACAAATCTTGGTTGATTTGGAAGAGGATGGGCTTCTGCTACTTAATGCTTCCTCCTTTGAGTCCTTTGAAGGAAGGCTCTTCTACAGTCTTCATCTTCAGGTGCAGGAGCTTACAAATATTATCTTTCCATGATTCAGTACTTTAATTGATTAATTAATTAAAGAAGATAAAGGAACAAAATGGATGATTAGAAGTTTTACTTTTATTTTTTAGTTGTTAGGAAAGTTTAAATAAATTTTCTATGGTAGATGGAGATATAAGTAGGATGGTTTGCAATAAAATAACGTATTATTTTAGTGGACAAATTGTGGACCACCTGCTGTAACTTTTGAATTGGAGAAGTGTAGGCAATCATTGCAACTTTCATTGCGGAAAATTATTTTTTATACTAGTGATATTGAGGGAGGGAGAATCGAACATAAGACCTGGGATGTTAGAGTAAAATACATTGAACCAGTTGAGTTATAAGTAGGTGTTGGTCCTTTTTTCCGTCCTTCTTTCCTTTTCGCCGCCCGCGGGGGTCGGCTCTGCTTTGAGGAACGAAGCAAATCGTTGGATCAACACCAATGCCCTGATCAGATGGTGTCTTTTGGCTCGCAGAGAGGACTCCTTCAATTTCTGAACAAAATTGAAAGTTGAATCAGTTTGCCAAAGCTAGCGGGCCTAGTCGAGGCCCTATTCGTCAACTTTCTCAACTCTGATTCATGGTGCTACATAGGCGTGCCACTATTGGGTATATAACCAGCCCAATAGATCTAGTTTGAATGCTTGTGAATGGTTAATGCTGCGCGTCTTTTCTGGACTTCTTCTCAAGCCATTATACTCCCGGGGGGGTACTGGCCTGGATTGATTCTTTTCTATGCCTCAATGAAGAGGACTTCAACATTCTTTCCTTTGTGAATGTCAACCTGACAAGTATGAGCGGTACCTAAACAAGCAAGAGAGAGAGAAATGCCAAGTTCATGGTTAGTAAGACCATATCTGGGTTTTATCAACCGATCTCAATATTTTATCGTCCTCGGGCTGGATTAATAGTTAATTCGGGCCCAACTCAACTTCCTATCCCTTTTTTCCTTTAATGTTTCATTCGGGCCTCTGTTCCCTTTCGGGTCCGAACGCTAGTTCTTCTAGACTTTTCGAAGGGAAGAAGGCGGGAATCCAATTTTATGTACTAAAATAGTCCGTGATTCATTTTTAGATAATTAAGTGAACTTTATTTATGAAGATTTTTATGCAACTTATACTTAATTTGAGTGTAAACTAAATAACAGAAACTTCTTCAATTAATCCATCAACTATCTTTGAATCCGAATTACAAAGCAAAGAAAGAGAGACCGGAGATTTCTCAATCCAGCCAAATGATTACATGAATTGAAACATATTACTTTTTAAGAGAAAATCCACTACTACAAAAAGTGACAAAGACGACCAGAAAAAAACGACGGTCTAAGGGAAAACCGTCGTTGTTTTTTAAAAGACGACGGTTCTATAAAACCGCCGTGTAATAACACCTTAGACACCTAAAAAATGGAGATTCCAATGGTTGTTCATAAAAGACGACGCACCTAATTAAAAAACCGACGTCTTATTGAAATGGGATTTCCGCAGACTAAAATCTAAGCCAACAAAGAACGGCAGAAGTTATAAATAGACCGATGTAGAAAGTATAGACGACGATTTCAAAAAAAGCCGCCGTTTTTACTCAGAAATTAACAGGACCAAGTTTTCGTATAAGGCGCCGTATAATTACAAATAAATCCACGGCGGTATAATACAAAATACCGCCGTATTAAATTAATGTACAACTACGGCAAAGATAAATATATCGACGTCTTTCTCGTATAGTTCTACGACGGTATCTTTAACTCTCACCACGTTGGGGTTTTTCATTTAACGACGTATTATAAAATTTAACGTCGTATTTATTCACTTTATACGTCATACCTTATATTTAAACCGTCGTCTTAATAATAATTTTTTTTAACAATTTATTTCTTGGATTTTGTTATCCTACGTCGGTAGATCAACTTAATGACAAGAATTGAAATAACCACGACGGTTTATATAGAAAACCGTCGACATAATCAGATTTTTCTGAGATCCCAAGGGTTACGAAATCTTACCAGATGGAACTCTGTTCCTCATCATAATCTTACCAAAAAGACAATATTTTAGAGGTTAATGATGTATGTGTATTTGTGTCTTTGAGATACACAAACGCACATACACATTAACATCCAAAACATTGCCTTTGAAATTTGACGACGGCAGCCTCAGATTTGCAATCAGAGAGACAATTTTTTGGAAGTTGATGATGTGTGTGCGTCTGTGTATCTACACAAACGCACACACACATCAACATCCAAACAATTGTCTCCTAAAATTTCACGACGGCAGCCACAGATTTACAATCAGATAGACAATTTTTTGAAAATTGGTGATGTGTGTATGTTTGTGAATCAGATACACAAACATACACACACATTAACATCCAAACAATTGCCTCCTAAGAGGTGAGGTGAGACAGAGAAAAGGGCAAGAAAAAGTTGAAACCCTAATTGAAAACTAAAACTGAAAGAACTCATGAAAAAAATCTATATATAATTAAAAAATTAAATCCACGTCGGTTATATTACACATAACGACGTTTAACAAAACGAATCCAAGTCGCGAAACAAATATATTGCGTCGTCTTAGTCTCAGAGCAAAAAACCAACGACAGAATCAATTAATTGATGTAGAAATTAAAGACGTTGGAAATTATAAACCTACCGCCATCTTATGACAAAAAACGACGACGACAGAACAAAAAACCGTCATTTTTATATTCGTATTTGATTTAAATCAGTCACCCAAACAAGAAATTTTACAAATTCTAGAACATTAATTTCCGTCATTTAAATTTCCTCGGGAAAAAAAACTCTATTTATAACGCACTGTAATTGAAAACTAAAACTGAAAGAACTCGGAAAAAAAAAAACTCTATCTCCACGTCGGTTATATTACACCTAACGACATTTAACAAAAAGAATCCACGTCGCGAAACAAATATATTGCGTCGTCTTAGTCTCAGAGCAAAAAACCAACGACAGAATCAATTAAGTAACTGACGTAGAAATTAAAGACGTCGGAAATTATAAACCTACTACCATCTTAAGACAAAAAAGATGACGGCAGAACAAAAAACCGTTGTTGTTTTTATATTTGTATTTAATTTAAATCAGTCACCCAAACAATAAACTTTACAAATTCTAGAACATTAATTTCGGTCATTTTAAATTTCCTCGGGAAAAAAAAACACTATTTATAACGCATTGTAATTGAAAACTAAAACTGAAAGAACTCGGAAAAAAAAACTCTATTTATAATTAAAAAATAAAATCCACGTCGGTTATATTACACTTAACGACGTTAACAAAATAATCTACGTCGGTAATTATAAACCTACCGCCATCTTACTTTAGTATACTACGACGACAAAAAAGACGACGATAGAACAAAAAACCGTCGTTGTTTCAAATTTGGTCTGTTCTCTTCCTACAGGACTTGGATAGTTCAAAGCATTGACAATGTCTTTACAAATTCGATTGCTCAGGCTTTAGAGGCCATCTGAAGCCATTTCTCTTCTTTATCGCATTCTTGAAAACCCATCTTCTTCTTCTTAAGCTCTACGAATAAAGGAACAGGCTATCACAAATCTGACGGATCTTCTTAGCCAAGAAAATCGAGCAGAGGATCAGGCACATCTGATCTTTAGATTTCGACCCGTGCTGAGAAGCGAACTTTCCTTCGATAGCGAGTGGAGGCCAAGCTTGCATCTCTTTTGATGGAAAGCAAGGAGTATTCAAAAGCACTAAGTCTCCTATCAGGCCTGATCACGGAAGTGAGAAGTCTAGATGACAAGCTTCTTCTTGTGGACATAGATTTGTTGGAGAGTAAGCTCCATTTCTCTTTGAGAAAGACATCCAAATTATTGTCTTTGAGAGGTGAGAGAGAGTGTCTGTGAGAGAGGAAGAACTTGGAACCCTAAATGAAAACTGAAACTGAAAGAAAGTGACAAATTTATACAATAAATTTTTAAAACCCACGGCGGTCATTACACACAAACCGCCGTTTAATTTTAAAATCATAATGTCGGTTATTATTTAATATACGTCGTATATTATAAAAATTCATGTCGGTAAATTAAAAAAACGACATGTTAAATCCTTGTACCAGACGCGAGATATTAATTTATCGACTTTTATTTTGAGTTTACTACGACGGTACCTACAACACTACTGTCATATTTATTTACCACGTCCTAAGTTCAAATCATTGTCGTAGTTGTTTATTTATACGTCGTCGTTCTCTGTAAACCGCCGTCTTATTTTTTTGAAACGGTTTGTGTATATATTCAACTTTTCGTCTACCTGACTTACACATGCACTGTTTCCAAACCCGATAAAAAATTTCAATCTCCAAGAGAAAACTTTTCGTCTTTTTTCCTTGTCAGAGAACTGTCAGTGTATCTCATCGTCTTCTCTCGTCTTCGTTGTCTTCTCTGAACTTAAACACCAAACTCCGAGAGGAAGCTTTCACTGCACGCAAAACGTAAGCTTTCATTTCTCACTATTTTTGTTGCTGTTTTGCATGCTCATACGGTTTTTGTTTTGAAAATATTTTTACCTTTTTTCTGGCCAAAATCATTTTAATTCTTTCCAAGTTTGATAAAATATACAGACAAGAGGGAAAGTTTCCAACTTTGAACACAACTACTTCAACTAAATAAGACGACGGTGGCTTCTTATTTACGTGGTTAAATATGTAGACCACGACGGTTCATCAATCGCCCTAGCGTCGTCTGAAAATTGGTCTAAGTTGTTTTTAAAATGACAGTTGTTTTTTTATTTTCTTGTTTGATTGCAGGTTTGATTTCTCTGAACCATGGTTTTTGTTCTTCCTAATTTGATAAAATACAAAGAAAAAGAAAGTAGGGTTTGGGATCTTATATAGACGACGGTATCTTATTATTCACGTCGTGTGAATGTTAATACCACGACGTTGTACTAAAATACCGTCGTCTATATAAGATTCCAAAACCTTCTTTCTTTGTCTTTGTATTTTATCAAATTAGGAAAAACAAAAACCATGGTTAAGTCCACACTTGGATGCCTTGCCATGCGAGCTCCATGGGCCAGTGCCTCTGTATCATCTGCACCACCAATGAAGATCACAGCAACATGGCATATATACCGGCTGGCTAGCATTGACACCGACCCGCCTAGGACCCCTCGATCGATGAGAATTCCAACGGAGCAAGGTGCCTTTTCAAGGACATTGATGTTCATGGACTGGAAGGGTCGGTTCACTTACCCAATGCTGCCATCGATGGCCCATTGCTTGTGAAACGGCATGATCACAAGGTTTACCCCTCTTCTCAAATGCTAACCGGCAAATATCATCATGCATTGTTACATAACTCGAGATGGAAGTGTATGCTTGGAGGGTGGCGTACCCTTCATTGTATTGCTCGTATTGCCTCATGGCTTTGACAATATGGCCAGACGAGCTGTTGTCTAAGGTGTCATGGGGACGGTGCGACACAAGAACAGGGTTGGTTCGCCCCACAAGCTTAGTGAGGACGAGGGCTATGACTGCAACAGGGTTCTGTTCTGTAGCATTTGATACTTCCAGGACGTTTATGAATGTGGGAACGTTCTCTTGGTTGTGGATGCATGCTAGGATTCGGAGCTCCGACTCACGTTTCAAATGTTGGATTGTACTTCTTCTCGTCACTGCGTATTGCTTTGAAGGATCATAAAGATATCTTATCAAGGGTGTTACCACTACTGTTATGAGCACCAATGAGATCATGACCAGCGCAAATTCTTGATCAGTCAGAAACTGTAAAAAAAAATTCATCATATAATTCAAGAGTAGCATTGGTACTCACTCAAAGTAGTTAGAGAAAAATGCACAACAGAATCTGTAAGGGCCGATGGATGAAGAAGGTGCTGCTGAGAACTTCAAAAGTAAATGAGAGAGTTTCAAGTGATTGAGACTTAGACCTTGCTTTACTTAAACAGGTTGAACATGACAAGCTCTGTGATGCCTTTTGAGTTGAGGATGAGGCCAAGCACAAAAGCTTGGCGCAGAGGCACATCGAAATAGCTGGCTGGCAACATTACAGCTCCTATCTTGACTAGGCTAGAAAAGATGACCAGCAGCCCCACAATCCACATAGACCGAGGATGAATCCTGAAGATGTTCGTTTTCAGCCCACTATTGGCAAGGTAAGTTGGATAGAATATTCCTGTAGCCATGATTTCCACCTTCGTCTCCAAAGCCGCTCCCAAAGGTGGTCCTTCAGGCATTGCATAGCCAAGCACTAGGGGTCCAAGTAAGAAATGCTGGCTTACAAGCTCACCGATATTTCTGAAACCCTCCATATTTTAGACCTTGGTTCTGATTGGTTTGTGGGTTTTGTTTGTATTGTTGAATGGTATCAACTAATGATGAAGTGAATTGGGTTGTATTCACCATTATTCCTGTATTTAAGTTACTAAGCCAAGCACAAGCACATAGCACTGAGAGAGAAAATGATACATATAATTGCTTTTTGGGTTTTGTCTAGATTGTTTAATTGATTGAGGGAGGACCAATTGACGGTTGGGGGAGAGAGAGAGAGATATATATATATATATATATATATATAATATTTGACTCCAGTTACTTTGAAAAATCACCAGAATTGAACATATAGGCTGCCTCATGACGGGCTTTGCCCCGTTTTTCAACGAAATGGGAGTAAAAAGAGCGGATATTTGATTTGGTACTTGACATGAGTGGTGCAATGGCTGCTTCATCCGATCATTCACAACTGGAGCAATTTCCCTTCCCTTTGGGCTAAGTGATTAGTTTTACAGATACTTCATATTGGTAACATATGTTATTATAGAGATACTAATATATTAACAGACAAGTGAGGGTGTACTTCTTATCATTTTTTAGCGGGATATAACTCATGCTCCCATACACAAATATCTCCCTAGCACAAGCTCCTCCACTCCAAAATGAAATTCTGAATGTCTTCATTGGCTTAGAAGCCCTGAACGCACACCTACATATGTATGTGTTTCTTCCTCGTGTGTATAGACAAAGTCCACAAATTTTTGTCAGCGTATGAAATGCATGATCAGTTAGGATATCAAATGTTTTGATGATAAATGATTCAAGGCATGAGGGCGCTTAGCATACGCTCCTTAATGTCAACAAGCAATGCACCACGTTAAAAGACATAAAAACAAATGGAGACTTCAATATTCAAACATAACCTGTGAGCCCCACATGCCAAAGCACAGCAGCAAGGGAATTCCAATCCAAAACATAGACATAGACATCAATCCTTCACAATTGACAACCGTATTACATGCATATGCATCAGTTTTCATATCTTTGGACTGAGTAAGCAAAATAAAAAGTACAATATTAATAATATATATCTAGCCTCTAAGCCTTTTTTTCATCATGTCTTGTTAATAATTAAAGAACCACAGACTCCCCAAAATCCCACTATGAACCCCAACGCAGTGAAAATATAAAACCATGGAAGTTGATGAAGCCCATTATGCATGTCTTTGTTGTTCTTTTTATCTGCATCAATGCCCTTATTTGGTCCACACTTATTTGGAAGTGGGGCACCACAAAGTTTTGGATTCCCCTCAAAGGCTGAAGCATTGAAGCTTTGGAGCTGGGTGCCTATTGGTATTGGTCCTTCAAGATTATTGTATGAGGCATTAAATTCTTTTAAGAAATTAAGGCTTGCCAATGATGATGGGATTATTCCAGACAAGTGATTCATGGAGAGGTACAAACCCTCTAAACTTTTAAGGTTAGATATTTGGTTTGGAATGACACCGGAGAAGTTGTTGGAGTCAAGACCCAAAAACTGGAGAAGCTGCAATTGGCCGATGTCAGTAGGTATATCACCAACAATGTTATTCTTAGATAAGTCTATCGTTGCTGGAAAAAAATACAATTTCTGCGTTGGAAAAGATTGAATTGTGGGTTGGTTGACACGCCGGACGTAGATAGGCAATTCAAATTCATATTGGTTTGCTTGAGATGTAATATTAGGTTCATAAAGCAACCTTGGTAGTCTACAAAGTTGCTTTGGAAATTCACCTGAAATTCGGTTGTTTGACAAGTTTATATAAAACAGCCTAGGAAGAGTCCCCAACCAACTTGGAATTGGCCCTGTGATTTGATTATAACCCAATAGCAACATCTCTAGATTCTTGAGCTTTGATAACCATAAAGGTATTTGACCATTGAGGTTAGAATCTGTCAAAGTCAATACCCGAAGATTTTGGAATCCATCAAAATCAACCATGTCATCATTAGATGGCATTCCCTCACCTTTATAGGAACCAGAAAGCGAGAGTGTGTGAAGACTTTTGCAACTCATCAATATCTTCATTGCCTCTGTGAGGTTGGTGAATCGGTTGCAATCAAGTGAGAGGAAGGACAAGGATTTCAATGAAAGAATCTTAGCATGTATTTGTCCCTCTAGATGATTCCAACTCAACCGAATGGCTTTTAGGGACCTACATGAGTAAAGGCTTACTGGAAGCGTACCAGTGAAGTTATTCACCCTTAGGTCAATTTTAGTAAGTTGTGTAAGCCTGGAAAAATCAAGCATGGAGATATCTCCTTCCAAGTTGTTGGATCCCAAACGCAATTCCAAAAGGTTTGTGCAATTCATCAAAGATGGGGGCAAATCACCTTCTAAATTGTTGAAATCAAAGGTCACAAACTTCAACTTGGAGAGCTTTCCCAAATTGGGAGGAAGCTCGCCACCAAAATGATTAAAGGAGAGGTCAAGGATGGCAAGGTTGGTTAGGTTGACAATTTTATCACTAATGGCTCCATGTAGTGAATTGAAAGGTAATGCAATTTCTTCAAGTTTGGTAGCATTATAAATATCTTCTGGAAATAATCCTGAGAGGTTATTATGACCGGCATGAAAAACCTGCAGTTTGGAACACTTCCCTAGCCCCAGAGCAAGGTTGCCACTGAATACATTGGAAGAAAAATCTAATAGCCTAACAGAGGGAGAAGACTGGAGACAAATAGAGGATGGGACATACCCTGTGAATCTATTGTTGCTGACATTGAAATTAGTCAAGTTGCTTGCTTGTTGGAAGAATGAAGATGGAATTGCACCAAAGAAGTGATTGCTGGACAAATCAACTGTCCGGATATTGCTGGACAAATCAACTGTCCGGATATTGCTGGATGGTAGAGAAAGTGGTAAAGACGGTTATAGCTCAAATCAAGGATCTCAAGTCGATTCAAAGACAAGAAGAATTGAGTTTCAAGTGAACCAAATAGTAAATTGTGGGAAAGGTTCAAGTGGGTGAGATGTGTGAGATTTGCAAGTGAAGAGGGAGAGATACCTCCTTTGAGCCCTTTGGAAGGTAAGAGCAAACGGGTGACCCAACCATCTTGATCACAAGTGATGCCCTTCCAACGACAGCAATCAATGGATGTCCAATTTAAATGAGGAGAAGATAGAGCGGAGGAAAAGGACAAGAGGGAGTTGCTTTCAGTTTGTTTGCAGCCATGAATATTTGCAGATATAATGTAAGAGAAAAAGAGGAAGAGAAGGAAGGCATGAGCCATTAGGTTATAAGCTGCACTAGCATGTTACTTTGTGTATGTGCCATTGCTCATAGGTTTGTATATATATCAGTACCCTTGGATCCCTTTAGGGTCCCTTACGAAATTTTTTTCAACGATCGAAAACATCTTTTTTTCACATCTTCATTCATAGATAATCCTTGTAAAATTTCATGCACATTGAAAATCATTAGGCATCTAATTAAGATCAACAAAATCAATGAACTCCGTGCTTCAAGAAAATACTTAAATTTCAATACTTTAATTGAGTAGTCAAATGATATCGGATTCAAGTAAGTTTATTTGATGGATCCTTCAATGGAAGTTCTTTGTGTGTATATATATATATATATAACGATGCTTGAAAAGGATGCCACTACCATAATAACGTTGTTTTTCCCCACAAGAAGGAAACTACTATAATAACGTTTCTTGGTAGAGCAATAACGTTCAACCCTCTGAGTGGGCACAACTTAACAACTACTTGCTAAATATATTGATAGCAATAAAATGAGCCCCAACCACTTGCATTTAATTTTTTAATTTTCTTATAGTTGGCTTGAAAGCGATGCAGTTATAAAGGATTCTGAAAGGAAGAGTGTTCGAAGACTTAAGCTTGTGCAACGAATTAGTATTTTCATTGCTCCTGGGACATTGGTCAATCTATTGCCACCAAACCAATTGAGAGGAAGGACCTACATGAGTAAAGGCTTTAAATGAAGGAAAGAATCTGAGGTTGTATTTGCCCCTCTAAATGATTTAAAGTCAATCAGATTGCTTTCAAGGACCTACATGAGTAAAGGCTTATTGGAAACATACCAGTAAAGTTATTGACTAAGTCTGGAAAAATCAAGCATGCAGATATCTCCTTCCAAGTGGTTGGATTGGATCCCAAGTGTTTCTACAAGGTTTGTGAAATTCATCAAAGATGGGGGGCAAAGAACCTTCTAAATTGTTGAAATCAAGGGTCACAAATTTCAACTTGGAGAGCTTCCCAAAAATAATCAGTGAGAAATCACAGCAAAAAACACTAAAAAGATGCAAGTCGGATGAAGTCTATGGGTTTCCTATACATATGGAATCAGACCAGTTGTCATTTCTTCTATGAAGTCTATGGGTTTCCTATACATCCTCCTCGAAATAGGTTTGTGTTGAGCCAGACACAAATGTGTAACATAATTAAACAACTATGCTAGCAGATAACAGTTCTTAAGAAACAGATACAAATACCTTTGTTGTCTTCTTAAGCTTGAGCAATGGGATGAAAACAGAAACTTGATCTGGTAGTTATTTGCACTGTTGGAATCAACAAATGGCGTGAGCTTCAGCACAAGTCCATTTTACAACAGCAGCAGCAACAGCTCCCTGAAAATGCTGCAAATGCCCTTGAGTGATCTCCAGGTTTTTGATTTGAAAGTCTTGCTGGTGACAATTATATGATAAATGTAATGATTTCCAACTAGTCCCAAGAGTCCCCTCATTTGTTTTCAGGGCTTCATTCCAATGTTATATGGAAGAGGTCCATCCAGCGACAGTGCAGCGTTTTTATGTGAAAAAATTGTTAGGTGAATCTGTCATGACCAGAAATTATATCATCCGCTTTCAAGCACAGGAAATATCTGATTTGCCTTGCCAATATCCATGCTGGTTGCGTTACCGACTTTAGACAGTTGAGTTAAATTGCAAATGTATTACAACTTGTTTATTGCAGAGTTGAAATAAGCTGTATAGGATGTGTCATGATTTTTTAACGGCCGTAAAAAACCTCACGGATGTAGTCAATGCTTTTTCAGATTTAGTTCTTCTCTTTCAGTTTGTATATAAACAATTTTATTGTTCGGCAGTGGTTGTGTGATGATGGATGCAAACTCCACAATAGAGCCTCAAGGTTTTGTAATTTATTTGAGGGAGACCCTTAAGGTTCCTTACGAAATTTTTTTCAACGATCGAAAACATCTATTTTTCACATCTTCATTCATAGATCATCCTTCCAAAAATTCTTGCAAATTGAAAATCATTAGGCATCTAATTGAGACCAACAAAATCATTGAACATTGTGCTACAAGAAAGTACTTAAAATTTGAATAATTTAATTGAGTAGTCAAATGATATCGGATTTAAGCTTATTTGATGAATCCCTCAATGAAAGCTCTTTGTATACATGTATAAGAGCAACGATGCTTCGAAAGGATGCACACATCACTGCAAATTGAGAAGTCGGCAAACAACAACCACACAATGCAAATTATTGATATTGAAACCCCTCTATTCGTCCAAGAGATATACTCACTAATGAAACTAGAGAGAAGAACTCATTGGGTATTAAGAGATATTCCCACTAATGCCACAAGGAGAGGACTTGACCTACTCAATTTAAAGTCCACATCGCCTTCAAGTACTCAACGTAAGAAATTGGCAAACAACCATTACCATACAAAACAAAGTCTTCAAACCCTTCCTATACGTCAAACAGAGTTTTCAACTAATGTCGCCAAAATTCAAAACCACATTAGGTCTAAAGAGGGCCACGATGAGTCTTGAGATCCTGAAAAGAAAAATTCGTCGAATAGAAAATAGCAGAAGCAATAAGTGTATCAAGTAATCGACCAACAGATAACAAGTTATAATGGATATTGGGAACTAGTAATGCATGAGACAATGACAGAGTAGGAGTAAGAGAGATTGTGCCCTCACCAGTATTTGGAGAGGGCAAGCCATTAGCATTAGTTATGTATGGGTCACGGGTATTACTAGACAACTCATCAAAAAATTTAGCATCATACGTCATATGATCAGAAGCACCAGTGTCAATTATTCAAGTATTGGAGCCAGTACCTGAAATAGAATCAGAAACACACAAATTTGCAGAGGCAGTAGCAACAGCACCAACAATGGAGTTATCACCCATGATTGCAGTAGAAACTCAACAGATCACGGCAGAGGCACAAATATGGCATATGCATGAAGACAGGCACGAACACAGCAGAGTACACAGTAAAGGCACAAATACGGCAGATGCACGAAGACAGGAATGGCAGGAACACTACAACACAACACACACACCCAGGAGGGCACACACGGCACAGGTAGAGAAAAAAAAATGGGGATAGAACACGGGTGGGCACAACACACAGGTCACCAGAAAAGTTGGCACTGATGCCAAGTTAAACAATATGGGTAGAATATTTTTCAGGTTGTATTTTATTCTCCAAAAGAAGGTATTTATAGTACAATGATGTAACTCTAGTAGGGTCAAACTAGGAAACAAGATAAAATCCTAATTACACAATATCTGTACAAAAGGAAAGAAATATAATCCTAATAAACTAGGAAATAAATATCCTAATTAAGCTAGGATCTCACTAACATCACCATGCTAATGACGAACTGTAGCTTTTCAAGTTTAATGTCATCATCCTCTCCTCCATCTCCACTTGAAACTTGAGGTGCTTCTTAATTGTCTTGGCAACTAGTTGGTAATGGACACCGCTAGGACCGGCATTGCCCTCATAAATTGACAAGTCAACAAAGGTTTGAAATTGGTTACTCATTGGAATTTTCCCGGACAAGTTATTGCATGATAGGTTCAAATGATTCAAAATGTTAAAGAAACCATGCTCTGTGGAATTGAACCTGAAAGTTTGTTCATTGATAGATCAAGAGTTTGTATCCACCCCAAGTTTTTGATATTTGCTAGGATATTTCCGGTCAAATGATTCATGAACAAATTTAAGGTGCCCAACTTTATTAGGCTTGTTATCCCCACGGGCATCTCTCCTAACAAGTTATTGTCCGAGAGATGAATGCTATTAACAAGGTAAAGGATGGAGTCATATTCAAGCATTCTTCCTTTTGACACCACCTCCAATCTTCCCTCGTGACCGTGTCTCTGTGTGTGTGTGACACACAAAGACAGCCCATAAATTAAATTATAAAAGTGTATTGGACATAGTGATAATAGAAGTGTATTTGTACCTAACAGACAAAGATGAAACCGAAAGTCCCAACTCCTATGTTAAGATATTTAGCCATTTGTTTTTCAATAAATTCCTGTTTGTTAGGAAGTCTCTTGCTTTTACCTATTCTTTAGGAGAATCCCAGATTATTAGGAGTTGTTAGTCGTGGGATTAGGCATTGCTTTATTTTCTAGCTTTCAGTTATTTGCATTTCTATTTAATTAGACTTCATGTCAATGAGTCAGTATCGTATTCCTTTTACTCATTCTGCTGCAAACTCAGTTTTTAGTTATACAACAATTGAAAAAGCAGCAGCTTTCATTCTTGCCGCATCAAGATATTCAATGGCTTCTGAAAACAGCTTTGTGCAACTTGCGATGGTCACTATGATCATTGGAGTATGTTGATGGAAAATTTTCTGCGATCCAAGGAGTACTGGACTCTCATGGAAACCGGCATCGATGTGCCCACTAGTGAGATTGTTTTGACAGAAGCGCAGAGAAAGACATTGGAGGATCAGAGATTGAAAGATTGAAGACAAAGAATTATTTGTTTCAAGCAATAAATCGTGCCATTCTCGAAACCATCCTAAAGGACACTGCTAAAGACATCTGGGATTCGATGAAGACGAAGTACCAAGGCACTGCATGGGTGAAATGTGCACAACTCCACGCTCTTTGTAAATAGTTTGAGATTCTTCACTTGAAGGAAGGAGAGTCAGTAAATGATTACTTTGCAAGAACACTATCAATTGCAAACAAGATGCACATCCATGGAGAAAATTTGGAAGATGTTGCAGTCATTGAGAAAATCCTTCGCTCAATGACTCGTAAATTTGACTATGTGGTGTGTTCCATTGAAGAATCAAATGACATTGATAGTCTTTCGATTGATGTGTTGCAAAGCTCACTGTTAGTTCATGAGCAGAGGATGACCAGTTATGTTATGGAGGAGCAAGCCTTGAAGGTCAGTACTCATGAAGGAACTACTTCTTCAGGAAGAGGCAAAGGACGTGGGGGATTTCGAGGAAGCGGTAGAGGTAGAGGATGCCAACTTCCTTACAATCAAGGAGCACAATTGGACAAGGCGAGTGTGGAATGTTATCACTGTCACAAGCTTGGCCACTATCAATATGAATGCCCTGACAAAGAGAAGGAAACCAAGGTAAATTTCGTTGAAATTTAAGGAGAAATACTCTTGATGGCTTATATCGACAAGAAGGAGATCTCATCAGGTGATACTTTGTATTTAGATTCAGGTTGCAGGAATCACATGTGTGGAAACAAATCTTTATTTTATGATTTGGATGAAACATTCAGAGAAACTGTGAAGCTTGGGAACAACTTCTAGTGTGTTTTATATCCCATATTTGAAAAGCAATCTCATCAGTATGGGCCAACTGCAAGAGAGAGGTTATATCATCATCATCCAACAAAGCCGGTGTCAAATTCATCATCCAGAGAAGGGCCTAATAGCAGAAGCAAAAATGATAGCCAATCGTATGTTCCCTCAGCACATTCAGTATGATGTCCAAAAGTGTCTCTCAACAAGAGTGCAAGATCCAACATGGCTGTGGCATCTTCGTTATGGTCATTTGAGTTTCAAAGGCTTGAAAATCCTACATGAGAAGAACATGGTGGAAGGACTGCCTAAGATTAATTGTCCCACAAAAATGTGTGAAGATTGCATTGTTGGTAAACAACGTCGTGATTCTTTCCCGCAAGGAAAAGCATGGAGAGCTGAGCAAATCCTACAGTTGATTCATTCAGACATTTCTGGTCCAATCAATCCAACATCGAATGGAAACAAAAGGTATTTCATCACCTTCGTTGATGATTATAGTCGAAAAACATGGATTTATTTCTTGCAAGAAAAATCTAAAGCTTTTATTATTTTTAAAAGTTTTAAGGCTTGAGTTGAAAAAGAATCTGGCAAGTACATTTAGATCCTTCATACAGATCGTGGTGGTGAACTTAACTCACATAACTTTGCAAGTTTTTGTGAATTGCATGGAATACGGAGGCAACTTACTACTGCATACACACCACAACAAAACGGCGTGGTAGAAAGAAAGAATCAGACGATTATGAACATGGTGCGAAGCATGTTGGTAAAAAAAAGGTATTTAGAAGACTTTCTAATAGAAGCAGTTAATTGGAGTGTTCATGTACTCAACCGAAGCCCTACCCTTGCTGTAAAAAACATAACACCACAAGAAGCTTGGAATGAAGTCAGGCCATCAGTTGATCACTTCAGAATCTTCGGGTGTATAGCATATGCACATGTTCCAGATGAGAAGAGAACAAAGCTTAACGATAAAAGTGTGAAGTGTCTTTATTCGGGTTAGTGAGAAATCCAAGGTGTACAGGTTATATAATCCCATTACCAAGAAAATAATCATCAATTGTGATGTTCTATTTGATGAAGAAAACACATGGGATTGGAGCAACACCAAACAACAACAAATTTTAATTGATCTTGAGGAAGCTGGCGGGGAAATTATACAGCCACTGCAACCTCCTCTTGAAAGTCAGGGGTCTGAATCACAATTGCAGCTTCCTGGTCAGTCCCTTGGAGAAGTTTCACCAAGTTCCTCAGCAAGTGTTTCAATTCCAAATGAAGTTCAAGCACCTAGCTTAGAACCACAACGACAAAGGAAAAGACCATCTTGGATGATAGATTGTGTGAGTGGAGATGAATTATCTTATGAGGATACTACTACTCATTTCATTTTATTTGCAGGCTCTGATCCTATATTGTTTGCAGAAGCAGTGAAAGAAGAAAAGTGGAAAAAAGCCATAGATGCAGATATTCAAGCTATAGAGAAGAATGAGACTTGGGAGCTAACCGATCTTCCTAAAGGGCAAAAAACCATTAGTGTAAAGTGGGTTTATAAGAAGAAGCTGAATGAAAAGGGAGAAATTGACAAGTTCAAAGCAAGGCTAGTAGTGAAAGGCTACAATCAAGAGCATGGAGCTAATTATCAAGAGATTTTTGCTCCTGTTGCAAGACAGGATACAATTCGGTTGGTGGTTTCATTAGCAGCACAAAACTCATGCCCATCTTCCAGCTTGATGTGAAATCGGCCTTCCTTAATGGTGAACTACTTGAGCAAGTCTACATTGAGCAGCCTCCTAGCTATGTGATAAAAGGTAATTAACATAAGGATTATAGACTAAAGAAGGCTTTATATGGACTGAAACAGGCACCTCGAGCCTGGTACAATTGTATAGAAGCATACTTTAAAGAGGTAGGTTTCAACAAATGTCCATATGAGCACACTCTATTCATCAAGTTTGGAGAAGGAGGTAGAATCCTGATAGTTTGCTTATATGTTGATGATCTTATTTTCATGGGCAATGATAAGCCTATGTTTATTGATTTTAAGAATTCTATGATGGCTGATTTTGACATGACTAATTTGGGAAAGATGAAATATTATCTTGGTATAGAAGTAGTACAAACAGCTATTGGATTTTTTATTGGGCAAAAGAAATATGCTCAGGAAGTTTTGGAGAGGTTTCACATGAAGAATTGTAATCTAGTTGGGACTCCAACTGAACCGGGATTGAAGCTCTCAAGTGATCTCGATGGAGAGAGGGTTGATAGTACTTACTTCAAACAAATTGTTGGAAGTTTAATGTACTTGACAGCCACTCAGCCTGATATTATGTATGCAGTGTGTCTAATTAGCAGGTATATGGAAAGACAAACAGAGCTACATCTTAGAGCTACTAAAAGAGTGTTTCGTTACTTGAAAGGAACAATAGATTTTGGTATTTTCTACAAGAAAAATGGAGGACCTATTTTGACTGGTTTCACTGACAGCGATTATGCTGGTGATTTGGATGATAGGTGAAATACAACAGGCCATGTGTTTATGATGGGTTCAGGTGTCATATCATGGGCATCAAAGAAGCAACAGGTTGTTACTTTGTCCACAACTGAAGTAGAGTTCATATGTGCAGCAACCTCTACATGTTAAGCAATTTAGTTGAGAAGGATTCTTGAAGAGTTACAATTTCATCAACATGGGCCTATTATGATTCATTGTGATAATACTATCAAACTCTCTAGGAACCCAGTTTTACATGGAAGAAGCAAACATATAGATGTGAGGTATCATTTTCTTCGTGATCTTGTAACTAAAAAAATCATTGATTTGGTTTATTGTCGAAGTAAAGACCAAGTTGCAGATATCCTGACCAAACCTCTAAAGCTGGAAGCATTTGAGAAGTTGCGTGAATTACTTGGAGTTTGTTCAAGTTCCTTTTTAAACTGATTGCGTAGATGGCATTCAGTTTAAGGGAGGGTGTTAAGATATTTAGTCGTTTGTTTTTCAATAAATTCCTATTTGTTAGGAAGTCTGTTGCTTTTACCTATTACTTAGGAGAATCCCAGATTATTAGGAGTTGTTAGTCGTGGGATTTGACGTTGCTTTATTTTCTAGCTTTCAGTTATTTGCATTTGTATTTAATTAGACTTCATGTCAATGAATCAGTATCGTATTCCTTTTACTCATTCTACTGCAAACTCGGTTTTTAGTTTTACAACAAGCAAGTCAATGTTTAGTCTGGGTATGAATATGATAACTATGATTCATACTCTTATAAATTCATTCTATCCCTCTGGCCAAGATCATTTATATTAAAAATCCAGAAGTTTAATGATGGAGAGTCGCTTTAAAAATAATTAAATTTAAAAAAAAATAAGTAAATACATGGAAAATTAAACCGAGAAGCCACAAGAAGTTATTGCTATTTTGGGAAGAATGAACAGAAATCGAGAAGGGATGCATCTTAATGATTTTGGACTTTTTCCCAAGGCTATTAAGAGTTCTTGTTATTGAAGCCTTCGTTCCATGAATAGGGGCTCCTCCATCAACCGTGCGTATGCTATTAACATACCCTAGCATTGTATCTGAATATGCATCAGAACACCACTACTACAAATAGTGAAAAAGACGACCAGAAAAAAACAAACCGTCGTTGCGTTTGAAAAGATGACGGTGTTATAAAACCGCCGTGTATGATTAACTTAAACACCTAAAAAATGGAGATTCCAATGTTCGTTTTTAAAAAACGGCGCACCAAATTAAAAAAGCGACGTCTTATTGAAAAGGTTTTCCTCATAGGTAAACTCTGAACCCAAAAATAACGGCAGAAGGTATGAATCCACCAATGTAGAAACTAAAGACGACGGTGTACAACAATAGCCGCAGTTTTTATTCCGTAATAAACACGACTGTGTTTTCGTATTCGGCGCCGTATACTTTCAAAAAATCCACGTCAGTATATTACAAAATACCGCCATATTAAATAAATGTACAACGACGATAAAGATAAATTTATCGACTTATTTTTTGTAGCGTACTACGACGGTATCTATAACTCTAACCACGTTGGTTTGTTCAATTAAAGCCGTATAATAAAATTTACCAAGTCATGAAGTTAAAATTACCGTCATATTTATTCACCTTATACATCTAACCTTATACCTAAACCGTCGTCTTAATATTAATTTTTTTTTACTATTTATTTATTGGATTTTGGTATTCTATGACAGTAGATCAACATAATGACAAGAATTGAGAATAACTACAACGTTTATATAGAAAACCGCTGACAGAATCAGATTTTTCTGAGATCCCAAGAGAAACGAAATCCTACTGGAGGGAACTCTGTTCCTCATCATAATTGGACCACCAATGTGAGAGAAAGACAATATTTTAGACGTTGATGATGTGTGTGTCTTCGTGTCTTTGAGATACACAAAGGCACATACACATCAACATCCAAAAATTTGCCTCTAAAATTTGACAACGGCAACCACAAATTTGCATTCAGAGAGACAATTTTTTGGAAGTTGATGATGTGTGTGTGCTTGTGTCTTTCAGATACACAAACACACACACACATCAACATCCAAACAATTGCCTCTAAAATTTGACAATGGCAGCCACAGATTTGCATTCAGAGAGACAATTTTTTGGAAGTTGATGATGTGTGTGTGTTTGTGTCTTTCAGATACACAAATGCACACACAAATCAACATCCAAACAATTGCCTCCTAAGAGGTGAGACAGAGCCAAGGGCAAGAAGAAGTTGGAACCCTAATTGAAAACTGAAACTGAAATTAGAACGCGTGAAAAAAAACTCAATTAAAAAAAAAATCTTCACATCCACGTCGGTTATATTACACCTACCGACATTTAACAAAAGGAATCTACGTCGATTCGTACCAACCCTCTAGCCGTATAAAATACTAACCACGTTGGTTTTTGTTAGTTTAATGACGTATTAAAGACATATTAGGGCGGTTTTTTCAGAGAAACCACGACGCAAATAACTAAAATGCGTCGTCTTGTTCTCATAGCGAAAAACCAACGACAGAATCTATTAAGTAACTAACATAGAAAATAAAGATGTCGGTAATGATAAACTTACTAACTTATTATTTAACATATAATACAATGACATCTATAACGCTACTAACGCATAAGTAGAACTAACCACGTCGGAAAAGTGTATGTCGTTTAATACTCTTTATTAGGGCGTAAACTACATATATACCGCCATATAAAACAATTTACTAGGGTGGTTGTCATTAATAGCATTGTGTTATGAAACGGTTCATTAATATTTTAAACTTTTCGCCTTTCCTGACCTACACTTATACTGTTTCCAAACCCGAGAAAAAATTTCACGCTGTCCTCATTTTTCCTTCCCAAGGCGCCATGTCTGAATCTCATCGGCTTCCTCTCCTCTTCATCTTCATCCTTGAAAAATCATTTTTGTTCCTGTTTTGCAACTCCAAGCGAAAACTTTCATTGCAAGCAAAAGGTAAGAATTTCTCATCTTTGTTCCTGTTCATGAGAAAATCATTTAACTTTTTGGATAAAATCTACTAACAAAGAACAAAGTGTCATTGACCACGATGATAAAATATACTCTGTTTTTTTGTGTTTGAAGTAGTAAACCAAACGGTCTTGGAACAGTTTTTGAATTTCATATTTATAAGACAACAATATTTTATTACTAACGTCATTGTAATTGAAAACCACGACGTTTGTTGAAAAATATTTTTACTTTTCTCCTGTTGAAAATCAATTTAAGTTTTTCCAAATATAAAGGCAAGAACCAAAAGGTCTGGAAACACTGCTCTTTATTTTGTATTACATCTTAATAAGACGACGATTTTTTATATTTTACGTCGTTGTAATGTAAAACCCACGACGTTTTCATACTACCGTCGTGAAAATTCAAAATTTACATCGTTTTACTTTCAAACCACGTCGGTAGTTAACTATCGTCATTATATAAATCATATTGCATCGTTTGTTTTTATATTCCGTCGTATGAAATTTTATACTACATCGTTTTTTTTAAATAAGCGTCATTTTTTTTAATTGACTTTTATTTTATTTTATTCTCCACTTGCAAGTCTGATTTCTCTATAACCATGGTTTCACAAGCGCCAAGTAAGGTTCTAGCTTGAACAAAATGAACCAAGCCCTCGAAGAAGATGAAATTTGTTTCATCTGCTAAGACAGAACTAGCCAGCACGACAACATTTTTTGAGGAGCCAAAGTCTAGTCGTGGTATAAACACAATGCCCCGTGTTGTGAAGAGAAAATTGCAGAAAATCAAGCCACTTATTCAGTACAACAAAAGGGGGAAACCATATGGCCGTGCACATATTGAGTTGCAGTCCTACATTGGTGTGTTGGCACAGTCCAGAGTCCCAATTGTGGACAAGAAATGGACTAAAATCCCCATGGATATAAAAGAGCAGATTTGGGAAGCCGTTGACATGGCTTATGTGGTAGGGCAAGGGGGTAAAAAAATGGTATTATCATCTGCTGGCAAGAAATGGAAGGATTTCAAGTCTACATTAACGAGGCATCATATCCTTCCATTCATCAATGAGAATGAGAAGTTAAGACAACCCCCTGAATTATATAAATTCATAGAGAAAGCAGACTGGGATGCCTATGTAGCTTCAAGGTTATCCGAACAATTTGAGTCTGTCCATGTTGAACATGCACAGAGGAGAGAGAAATGCGAGTACAATCATCGATTGTCTCGAAAAGGATATGTTGGTTTGGAGCAAGGTCTTAAATATCGATAGTTTCGGAAATATCGGTGGTTCCAAAACACGGAAATATCGATGGAAATATCGGAAAAATATCGATATCGATAAAAATTGGATAAAAACCACAGAAATTGTGATAAATACATGGAAATTTTTAATGAAACTTTAGAAGAAGTTTATTTAGTCAATCATCTATTATTTTGACACAAAAATTGGAAGGAAATGCATTGCTTAGTGGGTTTGAGTGATTTAAGTTGATTATATTGTGAGCTGACAAACTCTGTAACTTAGAAAATATGGAGTAATTAATGAAGAGAATTAAACACCCCATAGTAATTTATTTATCATTTTTTAGTACAATATTTTACACTTTATAAATTTCATGGTAAGATACATGTCTAACCTTATTTCACATTATTCATTGGACATGGTACACGTTTTTATATTTATTATTTATAAAAAATTGAAAAATAATTAAACCAACTTGACTTTTCATGAAAATTAGGCACTTTACCATACTTAAAAAATAATAGTGAAGATTGAAAATTAACTAAGAACATAAATAAATTTATCAAAGGAAGAATTGAGTAGTAAACAAAGAAAATAATTATAATTAAGCAACAATTTGAAAGGGAATTTAGTAATGTAAGTACTTATAATGAATAATAAAATAATCAATAACATTAAATGGATTAAATAGAAAAGAAATAATTATATTAAGTAATTAAGTAACTGATCAACAATATAAAACAATAAGTAATTATGTTAATTTCTATTTTGAGAAACAACTCACATGTATTATAAATACATATTCCATAGCTTATTAGCACAAACTGATGATTGGCATGATGGTCAAGTGGTTGCAGACCTTAGAATGGGGAAGGGGTTCGAACCCCTGCATGCGTGAAGTGAGTTTTATTTAATTTTTGAATGTTCAGATCGTGATATTATCGATAATATCGCGATATATTGACCATTTGCAGCTGCCACGTGGACGAAAATATCGTTATAAAAATATCGGCGAAATTATCGAGGAAATTATCGATAAATTAACGATATATAGATGGAAATGTGCTAAAATATCGCTGCTCCAAAAAAATGATAATTTTGCCGAAATATCGGCGAAATTATCGATATTTAGTTCCTTGGTTTGGAGGATGATTTGGAAGAAAGCATGCCATGGGTAGAAATTGATCGATCTACCTTGTGGAAGAAAGCTAGAGAAGATAAACATGGTAACATCCCCGATCCAAAGGTTGCGGAGAAAGCAAAATTAATTATAAGCCTAAATTCACTTCACTCTGTTTTAAATTTGTATTACACTGCATTTGAATTTTAATTAGACTTGCATATGGAACTAACTTTCTGTTTTTATTGACTTTAATGTGTCTTTGTGTTAATTAGGATGAATTGCAAAACAAGTCAATGAAGGCACTCGTACTGTCTCTGGAAGTAATGATGTGTTGACTACGGCTTTGGGTCCAGAGAATCCAAGGAGAGTTAGAGGTGTTGGGGCTGAGATTTCCACTAGGCAATACTTCAATTTACCTAGACAACAGAGGGTAAAGTTTGCCGATCAATTAAAGGAAAGTGTAAGAGATGTCCTGAAAGAAGAGACCTTGAAGATGGAGGCTAGAACCAAGCAATTTGTAGAAGCTAAGAGGGAGAATTTGCTGAATCAACTGCGCCAACTAATTCCAAATTTTGATCCAAGCGTGCTGAAACTGACAACTATCCAAGGTCCTGAGCAAAGTCCCAAAAATCCAATGTCGGATAAAGAAAGCTGCTCTGGGGCGCTAGATGTCAGAGCCCTCAATTTTGAGGATGACAATGCCAAAGATGGAGAAAAGCAACAAGAAATGGTAACTTCTATGAATTCTGCATACTGCTTTTGAAAACCAATTAGACGTTGTTATCTTAATTATAGACGTTAGAAACAACCCACAACGACGTCTTTTATTTACCGTCGTCTCAATTTAAATTAGACGTCATTTTCTTATATTAACCATCGTGTGTATTCATTACCACAACGGTACGTTTGTCCAAATTTTCATTCTTGTACAAGCTGTCTTATCTATCTTTCTTTATTTCTTAAAACAGAAATCCAAGGATGTAGAACAGCAAGATGAAATGGTAATTCTCTGAAATTTGAAATTCTTTCTTACTTGGAATTACATATGCGTCGTTGGGTTCAATATTGTTGTTAGATATGACATAAGACGCCGTTTTTTGGTTAATGATGTATTAAATAACATACCACGTCTGGTTTTTTAATATGACGTCATCGTCATTTAAATACCACGACGGTATTGGGGATTTAGAGTTTGCCAATTTTATTTTATTTTCATATTTTCTTCACTCACTCTGTCCCGCTTTCTCTTTTTCTCTCTCTATCTCTCTCTCTTTATCTGCAATTGATGTTATATGCATTTCTGCTAACGCATGCTTTTAAGTTGATAATTGCATTTGTTAATTTTGGAGGGCTTTTTTTATACCGATGTAATAAATTCATAAGACGACTGTTTTTACTTACCGTCATTTTGACTTCATATTACGCCTGTTTTTTAAATAACCCGTCGTTGGAATTCTAGTACCACGACGGTATTGTGGATTCAGATAGTGTCATAATTATTATTTTTTTCAATCTTTCTTCACTCACTCTGTTCCACTCTCTCTCTCTCTCTCTCTCTCTCTCTCTCTCTCCTCTCTCTCTCTCTCTCTCTCTCTCTCTCTCTCTCTCTCTCTCTCTCTATATATATATATATATATCTATATTTCATGTTATTTGTATTTCTGCTAAAGCATGGTTTTAAGTTGCTAATGGCAATTTTTAATTTTCTAGGGCTCTGTTTTCTACTGATGTAATTGATGCATACGACGACAGTTTTTACTTACCATCGTGGTTATTCAATTGGCACATTATTTTTGTCTCTTCCCCGTCATTTTTATCTCAATTGCCACGACATTTAAGTTTGTGTAGTTTACTCTGGTTTTTTCACTTCTGTATTACATATCTTTCCTTATTTCTTCAAGTAGAAAGACAAGTGCTTGGACGTACCAGATTACTCAAACCTAGTCTTGCCATCTTCTTTACAAGCCCTTTGTCGTTATATAGAGACGACACTAAAGGTTCATGAGAAGGCTATGATATTTACAATTGAGAAGGAGGTGTTTGGTTTTGAGCGTCAAACCTTCGTCTTGATTGAAGATATTACACAGTTTGCAGCCATGGATGAAATTGGGGCTACTGTGGTTGTTGTATACATGAGGTTTGTCCTTATCAACTCATTGTCATTTCACATTCTCCTTTCTTTAAAAAATTAAAAAACTCATGACATCATTTCATATATGGAGGTGCCTATTTGATGTTTTGAAAACAGCAAATATGGTGAACATGGTTGGCTTTGTTGACCCCGCTCAAGTTAGTGCTAACTCTGGATCATTAACTCAAAGATGAAGTTTGTTAGCCAATAGACTTCAAAAGATAGATGGGGAACATATTTTCTTTAGCCAATAGACTTCAACACGATTTTCTTTGTATGATGCAGTGTATATAAAACTGTTTAACCTCTATGTTTATTTTGTGTAGCCGTCATTGGGTCTTAGTCATTGTGAGACCAAAGAGGGAGACTGTGTATTTTCTGGATCCACTACCCGGAAATCGAGTGGTTGATGATGAGTGCAAAAACATTGTAAAACGTAAGTTGATCTACTAAAGTGTAATGTGTGTTTGTAGACAATTTTTTTTTCAATAACACTTTGTTGTCATGAAACAGTGCTATCAAGATGTATAATTCACACATAGGCAGACAAGGTTGTAAAGCACCTATTTGGAAAACTCTACAAGGCACACCAAAGCAACCCAGCAATGTAGAGTGTGGCTATTATGTCATGCGCTTTATGAGAGACATCATCACAGATCCTTCTTTGGAGTTTGTGAAGAAGGTAAATGGAAAACTTTAGGATTTTAATTTCTATGGTTTTTGTAAGTGGACGACGAAAAATAGAATTACCGTCGTTTGAATCGATATACCACGACGGTAATTCTATTTACTCTGTCACAAATCCTACAAAACCATTGATGAAGTGTAAATAATCATTTTTTATTGATTGCAGATTGAAAAGGGCAAAGATCAAGCACCATACCCCCAAGAAGCCATTAAAGAAGTGTGGAAAGAATGGGCAGATTTTATTTGCCTTCATATGGACTAGAGGATTTTTACAAACAGTTATGAAAAATGTACATTTTTTTTTAGAATAGACAATTTTTTTGTACAGGTTTTAGGGTATAATGTATATATTTTTTTTGGCTATCAATAAAAATTGGTTTTCATTTTTTAAAACTAAAGTAATTCCTTAAACTGCCGTCTGAATGCCTTTTCAACGACATGATTGTTTCAACAATAGTTGTCTTATGAAACTTGAAAATAAACCAACGACGGTAAATTCATAAAATGACATGTAAACTCCCATAACACGACGGAATATTTTAAAAGACAATAAACGATGTTGCTAACACAAAAAACAAAGAGCCATGTAAGCAAATACCACGTCAATAACTTCATAACAGACGACGTCTTATGCAATTTCAACGACCTTCCTTTTTAAAACGGTCGTCTGATCAACTTTATAATATTTCAAATGAATTTTGAAATACTTACAACGACGTTATTTTATTTAAGCGACCTCTATATTCCTAACGTCTTAAATAATCTTTAGTGATAGTTTTTTGACAAGATCTGACCCAAATTCCACTTTGGAATCCGAGCCGAACCCTATGCGTGTCCGACACTTGGCGAGTGTCGCGCACAAATGACCTAATTGCCCTTCCAATCAAAATACAATTATCTCAAGTTTGACTTCTGCCAAAAATTCGGCAGTCTCCCCTGTAAATTGAACATTTCCCGAAATTTTCACCTTTCAATAAACGTTTATATAACCCAAACGTTCAGCATATATCAATTTATATCGAAGAATTCAAGCATCACAACAGTCTGGCCTCAGGCCTCAATGAAACGAATAAATCATTCTGCTAGCAACACTAAATTCAATTTCTTAAAACATTCCCAGAACAATGCTAGATTTCATAATAACTTAGTTGGACTACCTTTAATTACTTGACCTCGTGGCTGCACCTAGAACCCTAGGTTGCCTATGTACCCTTAGTAAAGGATCAAGCCACACGTAGTTCTCATCTTCGATCTTACCTTCCTGTTCCAAGCTTTCTGGCATTACTCACATGACAATATATAATTAAATGAAGGAATGAAGCATTTAGATTCAAGAAATCACTCTTGGAAGGCCATAACTATTAATTCCTCGTGACACTATTGGTGACACGTCCTACCCTGTAATCCTCACTCCACACGGTCCGGGCATCTCTAAGACTCGTGGGGCATAATATGCTAGAAAAACTTAAGCTATTTAACACTATATAAAATAATAAAGGATAAAGATAAATAAACATACTAAAAGAAAATAAAATAAGTTAAAGATTTATAAGCTCCGAAGACCCTTGTATCCTTGTATCGAAACTCACGTAAGGTTCATAAATATATATATATATATACATATATGAAAATCCATAAATAGACGTATTAATAAATAAATACATATATAGCAGGACATGATAATTGACAATTAAAAGTAATGACTTTACATTTGGGTTTAGAAAACCTCTAGCTCCCTAATTAGTCCAGCTATTGTGTTGTTGCCAAACTGAATAGCATTTGTGAATACTGCAGGAAGACATGGCAATCAAATAAAGCAAGCATAAATCACCAAACAATTGAGAATAAATCTTATCCAATGACCATTAAATTCATTATGACTAGAAGGATAAACAAAAAACCTTCTTTGTCAGGCCAAAATCTGATGTTCGTTTCTTGCCGATCTTGGGATTCAATTGAAAGCACATGACAAGCTAGAGTTGTCACAGGCTTTCCACGAGAATATTTTGTTGATATTCCATTCCATCACACCAAACAGTGACTTCCAATGTCTGTTAGGCCCACAATTTAGTATGCTAGACACTGACAACTAGAGTATTGAAAGTAAATGTGAAGGAGGTGGATTTCTTGAGGGATCAAGAGTGGGTTTTTATGCTTCAATGTGGGCATCTGTTTAAAAATAGTCTAGATGTACCACTTTTCTTTCTTTATGCAGATTGGGTGAATTCTCCTTCTTGAAAATGTTTGTGTTTTTTTGTTATGTATTTTCTGTGATAATTTCGTGTAGCCAGCTGGGTGTTAGAAATCTTTAATGTACTTTTGAGGGACTGCTTGTTTCTTTTTCTTTTTTTTTAAAAAAAAATTAATACAAATTCAAGGTGATAAGCAACATTATGAAATGGGTAAACCCTAATGTTGTAATCCAGGTGAAAAACCCTGTAAATTGTTACCAAAAGCTTGTAAGTTACGAGTTTAGAGATTCTCTTTACGACGTTATGGTACCCTCAGTCCTTAATCTTGTAAATCATATGTTTACAAGGATATGGATCCATATTACAAGGAATTGGTAATGGTAGACCTTAAGGATGTAAATTGGGTCTTTATTCTAGTAAACAATGGTTTACAAGATTGAGGACCGAGGGTACCATAACGTGGTAAAGAGAATCCCTAAACTCGTAACTTTCAAGTTTTTTGTAACAATTTACAGGTTTTGCACATGGATTACAACATTAGGGTTTACCCAATTCATAATGTTGTAAATCAGCCACTTACAAGAACATGGATCCACATTACAAGGAATTGGTAATGGTGGACGTTTGGGATGTAAAATAAGTCCTTATTCTAGTAAACAATGGTTTACAAGTTTGAGGACTAGGGGTACCATATATAACATTGTAAAGAGAATCCCTAAACTCATAACTTACAAGTTTTTGGTAACAATTTACAGGGTTGTGCACCTGAATTTCAAAGTTAGGGTTTACCCATTCCAAAATGTTGCAAATCATATGTTTACAATTATATGGGTCCATATTACAAGGAATTGGTAATGGTGGACCTTAGGGTTGCAAATTGGGTCCTTATTCTAGTAAACAATGGTTTACGAGATTAAGGATTGAAGGTACCATAACGTCTTAAAGAGAATCCCTAAACTCGTAACGTACAAATTTTTGGTAATAATTTACAGGGTTTTGCACCTGGATTACAACATTAGGGTTTACCCAATTCATAATGTTGTAAATCAGCCTTTTACAAGGATATGGATCCACATTACAAGGAATTGGTAATGGTGGACCTTTGGGATGTAAAATAGGTCCTTATTCTAGTAAACAATGGTTTATAAAATTAAGGACAGAGGGTACCTTAACATTGTAAAGAGAATCACTAAATTTGTAACTTACAAGTTTGGGGTAGCAGTTTAGAAGGTTTTGCACGTGGACTATAACGTTAGGGTTCACCCAATCTATAAAGTTGTAAAATCACATTTTACAAGGATATGAATCCACATTACAAGGAATTAGTAGTGGTGGACCTTAGCGATGTAATCTAGTAAAAGCATGGGTTTACAACATGAATGACTCATATTACTATTAGAGTGTTGGGCACATCATTGTTCCATAACATTATAAAATTTATCCCTAATCTTGTAGATTACAAGATTCAAGTTAAAATTTATGAGCTTTGGCATCTTTATTACAACGTTAAGGTTCACTTTCATTGATAATATTGTAATAGTGTAATTTACAGTAAAAGAATCTCAATTACAATATTCATTAATTGTTGGGATTTGAACAAGTAAAATTGCTCCTTATTCTTGTAAAAACAAGGATTTACAAAATTAAGGACTTATTTTATCATAGTTGGGGCATGTGAGATCCCAAACATTGTAAAGTTTATGTGAAATCTTATAAAACCTTGGGTTTCGCAATTGCCAATCAGGCACTCAGTTTTCGCAAATTGGAATGGATATTACGTGTTGCCTGTTTTTCGATTGCCAACTTGATGGGGCTGAATGAAAGTAACATAAGCAATTAATGGGTATCAATTTGGTAATTGATGAGTATCGATTTGGTAATATATGGTAAAGCAGACTTTTTTTAAATTTTTTTGTATCAAAGGCCAAACATGAGACAAATTTCCCATCATTATTTAAAAGTGAGACCCGATTTAACCAAAAAATAATAATTCTTAACAATAAAAGTTAATATGTGAAATTCTAATGCTTTGTAACTTAATTTATGTCGATCTGTATGACCTAATACTTTTCATTTGTTATAACTTGTATTTATTTTACCCTTAATCAATTCAAATGTTTTTTGGGAAATAAACATATCCTTAATATGAAGGATTTTGCATATGGATTACAACCTTTTAAACATACAATTAATTATAAAGGATTTATCATTAGTGAGAAATTCTAGGTTTCATAATTGTGCATAGATAATGACAATTGAGCGACTGGAATGCAAACGGGACTACTTTGATTGTCAGTTGCTTGACTAGAATGCAAATTACACTCCATGTTTGTCAAATGCATTGACAAATCACATATTGTATTTACATTTTCAATTAATTGAGCACATATAATGGCAATTGCTCGACCAGAATGCAAATGGGACTACTTTCTTTGTCAATTGCACGACTGGAATGTAAATGGCACTACTTGTTTGCCAATTGCATTGACAAATCACATTGCATTTGCATTCTCAAAATTGAAAAGGTTCCCAATAACATGGCAATATGCATACACTAATCGCAGAAAGAGGCTAACCAATTGGTAATTGGATTTTAAATGTATTCAATTTATCCAAAAAAATTTCACAACTTTCTTACCATCTTATTCATTTTTTTTCTAAAGAAAATATATGCTTTTAAGAGGAAATGTCCCGTTTTTTATTTTTATTTTTATTTTTATTTTATTTTTAACACAAAGGGTTTAGATAGGAAAAAAAAAAAGTCCTTTGTGTTTAAAAAAACGGGCATTTCCTCTTTTGGAAAAATCATACATTTCTTTTAAAAAAATAATTGACGTTAAAAAAAATTAATAAGATGGTAAGAAAGTTTTGAATTTTTTTTGGATGAATTGAATACATTTAATAAGGGTAAAGTTGGAAAGCAAAAGTTAACTTGTATAATATATTAATGACATTGTTTTAAGTGTAAGGAGAATGACACATGTCAAGTAAAAAATGGAGAAGGTCCAAAGGAGAAGGTTAGAGAGAAGATTGTTAGCATTCCCTGCCCATACAATTAAACTCTTAAAACCACTTGGAAAAACCCGCGCGCCACTTGCCCCTCAGCCCGTACAAACTCCCTTATTTTGCTTCAACACATCCACACAAACATACAATATGTAATTGCCATTCCACTTTGCAAATGCCGACCGACTGATTGACAATTGTCAAAAGACCTCAGCCATTTGATTATTCTCCTTGTCCATGTATCTCCAGAATTAAACAACTATAGATGAAAACAATGGAATTTAGTGCACCAAACCATTCTAATCATACAAAACTATAAGGAGATAACACAATTAACTCGAATTCTACAGACCTTTATATTTCAAGTACGCAAATGAACAATTTTCAGTTTTAGGAAAGGAACGGCAAATATCAAAAAGAAAGGACAAAGAAGTGAAAGGGATTACCTTAAAGTTAATGTCTGATATTGATGGGAAACCAATATCTTCCAAAATATCAACCTTAAATTCTTCAAATGTCAGTGTAGAAGCCAGGGTAACCTGAGGGAAAAATTGATTAATGTTTGACATGTTTTCAATAATTTCACGCAAGTTTATAACATCATACCTTCCCCAACTTCATTGCATCCTTTATCCGAGCTTTATCTTTATGATACTGTCCATAAGCAAAAGAACAATGTCAGACATACAGAGTCATCTGCATTGCAGGTTACATTGTGTTGAGCAATCAAACTCCATTACTAAAAGGTTTTTTTATATCACAAATGGTTCCTGAAGTTTGTGAAATTATCGCCTTTTTTCCTTATTTTTTTTGTGACACTAATGGTCCTTAAGGTTATACTTCACACATCAAAATGGTCCCTGCTGTCAACTTCCGTCAAATTTTCTATTAAAAAGCTGACATGGCATATATGTAGGCCACACAACCAATAATATATAGCCACGTGGCTTTAAATAAAATATAAATATATTTAAAAAGAAAATTAAATTTAAAAAAGATAAGATTAAAACTTAAAAAAAAATAAAATTAAAAACTCTCTCTCACTCTCTTCGTTCCAACCTGTGGCCCCACTGTGCCAATCCCCCTCCCTCCACCCTCTCTCTCTCTCTCTCTCTCTCTCTCCCTCTCTCATCAGATTCGGGGGTGATGGTCAGCCAAGCAAAGAACCGGGTTGGGATTTAATGCAAGAACATAATCAGTTTCAATGGTTGGAGAAGGCATAGGGGTCCTAATCTGGAATGGGTATGGCTCTTTGTTATGAACTTGAAATGGTTTGTAGTTCCTATGATGGTAGAAGTTGAACTGGTGTTTACTTGTAGCTGCACATGAGTTGGGCATGTGATTCATTAACCCAGATCCAGGTACTCGACATGAATTGTGGATACTAACTATGAAATCTTGTATGTTGGGCTCAACTATGCAGCCCGAGTAATGAGAAATGGTAAAAAAGTTTACAATTAATTTCTTCAAGGCATTTAAGATAGGGTCGTTGGCGCTGCTCTAGAAGGGGAGATAGACTAGAGAGAGAAGGGGAGAGAGAATAGAGGGAGAAGCAAGGCCCGCCTTAGGGGTAGGCAGGAAGGGCCATTGCAATGGGCCCCAAAATTGTTTATATTATACATGTATACCATCATCAAATAAAAAATATATAAAATATCTGGGGGTACGTTTCACGAATTTGGAATAAATTTTTGGGGTCCAACTTATTAAAAAAAAACACACGATAAAATTAAATGAGGAAACACGATTCCTCTTCCGAGAAGAAACCCCAACATGCTTCCTCTTTTCCCACGGAGCGCCTACTCCTAGTTTCTCCATGGAAGAACATACTATCTATTTAATCCACCACCATGTTATTCTCTGTTTTCCCAATTTCTCTTCAATCCATCCATTATTTCCAGTTTCTCTCATTCCTCTTTTCTCATATTGTAACCCTAAGAATCAATCTCTCAATGAAAACTCACAAATTTTTCTTTTTTGATCTTTGTCTTTAAGATTGATGGTGACCAAGAGGAGAGAAGCATGAGAATTTCAAAAGGTAATAGATTTATGAATTTTTCTTTATATTTGTTCCTATCTAGCAAACTATTTTTTGAATTTCCAATACGAATAAAACACATAAAGACCCATTACAGAAGCAAACAACAAACTCTTTCCTTGGGTTATTGGTTGCTGGAACGTCGGTTTGTAAATTTGTAATTTCCTTTATGACATTAAATATCTAATTTGAATTTTTTTTTATGGAAATATGTCCTACTATAATGCATACTATCTTTTTTATTTGCTCATAGCATGCGAAGTAAAATCATTTTATTTGTTATGTTTTTTATTTCCAAAAGTCAGGGCCAGCCCTGGGGAGAAGTTGGCAGAGGTGGAGACAGGTTTTTTTTGTATTTAAATTCATATTTTTATATTCTTTTTCTTTTTTCTAAAAAAATTAATTTAATTTTAAATATATTAAATCTTTTATTGAAGCTACGTGGGCCTATATTGTTAGATGTGTGGCCCCGCATATATGCCATGTCAGCATTTTAACGGAAAATTTGACGGAAACTGACGGCAGGGACTATTTTGATGTATGGAGGATAACCTTAAGGACCATTAATACCACAAAAAAACATTAAGGACGAAATGCGATAATTTCACAAACCTCATGGACTATTTGTGATTAAAAAAAAACCTTACTAAAATATTGTATTGTTAATGTATACATGCATACGACCCATTAGAGCATCTCCATCCACAAGGGCTAAGGCAAGGGCAAGGGCAAGCAAGGGCTGCCACTATTCATGTGAATAGTGTCAGCCTTGCCATTTGTGGTTCCACCCCAAAGGGCTAAGGCTAAGACAAATACTATTCATTCTACTTTATTTCCTATTTTGTTATACTTTAAACCATTAATTTTGATAATCTTTTGTAATTAAATTTTCGGATAAGATTTTTGGTTGCCATGTGTCCATTATTTTTCTAGAAAAGATTTTCGAATGAGAATCTCGGTTGCCACGTGTCTTATTCCAGATAAAATTTTCAGATATTCATTAAAAAAATATTATAATCTCATATTTCAGATAAGATTTTCACCCTCTAAAATTGTGCCATGTGTCCCATGTCAGATAAGATTTTCAGATATTTTTAAAAAATTATAATCACAGATTTCAAATAAGATTTTCACCCTCTAAAATTGTGCCACATGTCATCTCTATCTTCTGAATCCTTCTATAAAACAACACCATCAACTCACACCTCTCACACCATCTCTTATCTATTCCTTCATTTCTCAGATTCTATAAAACACATTCTACTTTCAATGTCAAACTTGAGGAGGGTGTTGGAGAGGCAACAGAAAGAAAGGGAAGAAATCCGGCGTAGACGTGCTCATGAAGATCGGGACACCGATGAAGAAGAGGAACAAATGCTTGCAGCAGTGGTGTGTATGCTTAATCAATCAAGGCACACCGTCGTTGTCATGCCCCAAATGTGGACAGACGTAGGGAGTCTCGGGGTAAGAATCTCTTGGAAGATTACTTTATCCCAAATTCGTTATATCATGTTTCTAAGTTTCAAGAGAGTTATAGAATGCAGCCACATTTGTTCCAAAAAAATCATGCATGATATTTGTAATTACGACACATACTTCATTCAAAAGCATGATGCTATTGGAGTTTTGGGTCTTATCCTGAAGCCAAAACTTACAGCTGCTTTGCGGATGCTTGCTTATGGGGCATCTGCAGAGCAAGTGGATGAGATTGCAAGGATGGGAAAATCAACTATCCTAGAGTGATTGGTGAGATTCTGTGATGTAGTGGAAAATTTGTACACGAGGGAGTACCTTCGCAAACCCACGCCGAGGGACCTCCAAAGGCTTCTACAAAAAGGTGAGGCTCGAGGTTTCCCAGGAATGATTGGAAGCATCGATTGCATGCACTGGCAGTGGAAGAATTGTCATACTGCTTGGCAAGGAGAGTACAGGAATTGGAAGGGCCAAAAAAGTATAATTTTGGAGGCCGTAGCTTCATTCAACTGTTGGGTTTGGCATGCCTTCTTCGGGGTTGCCAGATCACAGAATGACCTCAATGTCCTTGGTCAATCCCCGGTGTTCGGCGAGGTATTGGGAGGTCATTCCCCCCAGATCACGTACCAAATCAACAATATCGTATACTCTGGTGCGTACTACCTTGCCGACGGAATTTATCCTAGGTGGACGACATTCGTGAAAACAATTCCGAATCCCCAATCCGAGAAGGAAACAAGCTTTGCTTCCTTTCAAGAAGGTTACAGGAAAGACGTGGAAAGGTGTTTCGGTATCTTGCAAGCTCGTTGCGCAATTATTAGGGGTGCTGCTCGGATGCTAGATGAGGAGGTGTTGCGAAGCATTATGATGACTTGCATCATCCTCTACAACATGATTTTGGAGGATGAGTATGACTACGATGCTCCATAGGTGTTTTAACCCGATCCCATGGACACGGCGTTGACAAGAATGTATGAATGGCCGATGGGACCAAATGGACAACCAATGGAGCCCGAACCGTTACTTCGGGATGGTCGATACAACAACCCCATGATTTATCATTATCAAGAAATGCAATCTTCAGATGTTCACGAGAGACGTCAACTTGACTTGATCGAGCACTTGTGGGACATGAAAGGCAATCACAGTGGTGACTCCGTTTCCATTGGGGAGTCCAATGGCGAATCGATTGATGGCGAATTGTGGAGCGGCGTCTCATTCAACACAACCGGCGGACCTGTGGGACTAATTTTGAATCTCGAACAATCCTTCACAACTTCCCAACATTGAAAATGCACGGAACTTTTTTTGCCTTGCCCCATGGCACCGAACCAAACTTGTGCTTGTATGATCTATTAAAAATAAATAATTGGAAGTGCAAGAAAAAAAAAGATTATGCAAGAAAATATAAACTATTTTGAAATGCAAGAATAAATTGATTATGCAAGAAAATATAGGCAAATTGGAAATGCAAAAAGAAAAAAAAATTATGCAAGAAAAAGAAATAGAATATGCAATAACAAAAAAGTTACATTAAATTGATTAAAATGGCAATTATAAATATTTTACCTCATCGGATAGATTTTGACCGCTTCGAATGTTCTCCCTTACTTTTGTCAAAGCATTTTTCCATTTCCCTAACTCTTTATTCATAATTTTCCATCCACTAGACAAGGCCATTTCGGTCCAAATGGAACCCGATCTTTGACAAAATTCTCCATGAATTTTGCTCCACATATGACAGAACTTCATCTCATTGCCCATGTTAGGGGAGTGACTAATGTTCACCCAAGACTGACACAACGCAATATCTTCCTGAGTTGTCCACGAGCCTCCGGCTTCGACAGAAGATGCCATTTGTTTTTTTTTGTTTTTTTTTATACAAATGGAAAGTAGTAGAAATATGTGAGTGGAGTAAAAAATATTGGAAGGAGAAGAGTTTGTATGAAGAATTGGTATGGAAAGTGAATAATGTGAGTGGAGAGTAAAAAAATATTGGAAGGATAATAAATTGTATGAAGATTTGGTGTGAAAAGTGAATAAAATGGTTAGGTATTTATAGGGAAAAAATACATAATTTTTTGGTATTTTTTTAAAAAATTTTCAGAATTTTTTCGCTTTTTTTTTGCAATTTTTTTATCCAAAAAAACGAGGACCGTCAGATTTCTAGAAAAAAAACCGATCGGAGTGTCCCGATTGCGACACGTGACACATGCCTGTTGGATTCTGTCAAGGGTGACGTCAGTGAGCGGAAGTCAAATTTTTTCACCGTTGGCGCGTGAAACTCACACGCCAACAGTAAAAAAAATTTGAATTACCGTTCGCTGATGTCACGGCCTTCAAGTTGAAGCCTAGGCGAAACTTGCCCTTTGGCTTGCCTGGGCTGGTGGGACCCAGCAATAGCCCGAGCCTCTTCTCTCGCGCTGGAGCTGCATTGGGCTTACCAGGAGGGCCTTTTGCCCGGTTTGATAGCAGCGCTGGAGCTGCTCTTATAAATTGGCAATGGGTGAAGAGGCCCATGATAATATATACTTTTATGCATGGCAATTATTTACTAAACAACTCACCCCTCACGACACGTATGCCATGACTGAGTCAAACACGTGGACGAATTATGTTGGGTGCGAGGAGCACGTGACTGTTACCCTGACATGTGAATTGTCCGCTCTGATACTTACGTAGATGCTAAAGCATCTAATCCAAAACCAGTAGGCTGGTGGAGAGGGTCTAAGATTTATATATTGTTATGCAAGGCCAATAATTCTCGATGTCAGATTCTATTCTCAACATACATTAGATAAAATACAGATAATTAATGGATCAAGTCATGATGGTATAAAATGCTAGGTTTACACACCTGTTTCTTTAATTCTTCAGCAACATCCTCAAACAATTCTTTTGGTGTTGAACCAGAGGTATTAGATGCAACAGCTTCATACGAAGACAGGTCTTTAGCCTACAATCCAAAGAAAACACTTATCAAAAGAGCTTCAGATGCAGAAGCAATCAAATATTTGTCTTTTGATTTACTATGCAGCTCTTCATATATTATCTCCACAACAATTAGAGTTGAGCACCTTCATGCAGTAATCGCGCCAGTGAGTTTGTAAAAGTACCGTCGGCAACATGTTCTTCCATCAGCTTCAACTGCGGTTTTTCCTCTCAACCCTCCTCAATTGTTCCTTAAATTTAGCAAAACACAAAGATAAGAACATTGAACTAGAAGAAAGATAAATTATAATTTATATGGATTATACCTTCTGTATCTTCTTTTGCTCCTCTTCTTCCTTCTCAAGGTCGCGAATATAGTCCTGCAACAAAAAAAAACATCATATAGTTCTGGTACATGAACACAACCAATCTTCTCACACACATGATTGAACATAGATTATGTGATCTACCTAGAAAATGAGCAACCTGTCAAGTTTTTCAAGACGCAAGCATCTCTCATCATCCTCTAAGCGATCTTGAACTTTCCGCCACTGGCTGTTCTCCTGCAAATGAATGATGATCATGACAAAAGGTAATAGATAAAATCAGTCACAATAAAATACACGTACACATTCCTTTTACAAGGCTTACCTTGATAAAGTCACAAGATTCCAGGAATTGTCTATACTCTGCAATATTCTGCTTACGCTCTTCAGCCGCCTTTTCTTTTTCCTGCATATAAGAATCGAAACCTAGGCAGTAAGAAAAGGCATCCTCTGTGACATATGAGACCACTAATTTTAATCTGCCCACTCCAAACGAGAATGACAACGGAATACTAATACATGGCAATCAATTCACTCGAAAAGATAAATGTATCTCAGTAGTTTTTTATTGCTTTTGTTTGAGAAAAGAACTCAAAATTGTATTCTTTTCGGTCACTTTATATTCCCTACAATCTAATAAGTGTCAACATCTATATTAAGTAACATGAGCACCCCATGGAGTTTTGTACACCTAAAGGGCAATGAAAATGAGGATACCATTTAAGGCGGTTTTACCAAAGCAAATTCAACAGTTGGAAAATGCAACTTTAAACAAATCCACAAATTGAAGGGAGTTAGAACGAATGGAGAACTGGACAATAAGTGAGACAGCAAGGCAATAGGCCAACACCACCAGTCCAATTTGTGGTTCTTCAACATAATTCATGCTTAAAGCATGTAGAGCCAATTCTCAATCCTGTCTACTCGATACCAAAAATCTTTTCTACTAACATCAGGAGTCAAATATAAGGCCCTAATTTACAATATGATATCTACAAATGGTGCATAGCATAAGTCAGAAAATGAAAAATGAAAGGCAAATTGTTACCTTCCTCTCCAATTCTACAATGTAGCTCTCATAAAGATCTTCCTGGTCCCTCGCTCGTTCTACAGCCTTGAATCGTTCATCATTTTCAAACATACTGACAGCTTTGCTGATCAGGCCAACACATCAGTCAGAACATCTAAAACATTTTGCATGCTTCCCAGTCATAAAATACATAAAAAAGACTAAACTCAAAATCACACTATTCATAGAACAGAGAGGAGTAAACCTCCATCTGGTTGCTGACGTAAGTTCCTTGGACTCCTTCAGAAAAATATCAAAATACAAACTTTTTTGTTAAGATCGAGGCATGATGTATTATAAAATGGTTAATTGTTTTATTAGTCTCTGAATTTAGACCTGATTTGCATTTGAGTCCCTCAATTTCCAAAATGGTTCCCGTAGTCCTTGAACTTCACTTTCGTTAGGACAAATGGTCATGCCGTCAATTCTGTTAACTTTTTCTGTTAAATGCAGGGGCAAAATGGTATTTTTATATTAAAACAAAAAAAATGAATAAAAAATCATATCTTTAATAAAAGAAAATCAAATAAAAAACCAACAAAAAAAAATCAAGTTTTGGGGGTGTAGAAATTAGGATAGAGGGGGAGAGAGAGTTTAATTTTAATTCTTGTTTTTTGTTTTTATTCATATTTTAATCAATTTTGATACGAAAATACCATTTTGCCCCTGCATTTAATAGAAAAGTTAACAAAATTGGCAGTATGACCATTTGTCCTAACCAAAGTGAAGTTAAAGGGCCACCGGAACCATTTTGGAAATTGAGGGACTCAAATGCAAATTTGGTCTTAATTCAGGGACTAATAAAACAATTAACCATATTATAAAATTATTAAAGAAAAATGCAGTAACCAATTATGACTAGAAAGCAACATACTTCGAACATTTTTGAAAATATTCCCGAGCTTTTTTCTGCCTCATGCGCCTCTCTTCATTCTCCAGTTTTTTCCTTTGAACCAAGTACTAAATTAATAGATCTCATTAGTTTTAGGTCAGAAAATGATGCGAAATATTCTTGATAAAAATCATGAATATTAATCAGGGGGAGAGTCATTGAGCAGTGCACAATTCTAATGAAATAAAAGTAGTCTTGAGTATGCGCAAATAAACAAAAGAACGACCAACACTCTAAAGCAGTTAAGAAATCATTAATAAGATTACCTCATTAAATGCTTGCTTCCTCTCACCTAGAGTTTTTAAAGAACCATATCTTTTGTCATTAATGATCTCTCTCATTTGTCTGATATAACATTTCAAAAACTATTAGAGCACTTCCACTCATTTATCATGGTAAAGGGCAAGGGCAAGGCAAGGTGTGTTTCCACCAATTGCCATGGCAAAGGTCAAAACTATTTACTTTATTTTAGTTTTTTTTTTTTTTTTTTTTTTTTTTTTTTTTTTTTTTTTTTTTTAAATAATTAAATATTATTTATTATAGATTTTCGGTTTCCACGTGTCAATATTTATTATAAAATTCATATCTCATAATTCGAATTAAGTTTTCAGATAAAATTTTCCGTTAAGATTTTCGAATTCTCAGTTGCCACATGTCGATATTTATGATAAAATACAAATCTCAAATTTCAGATAAGATTTTAGGATAAGATTCTCGAGAAAACTCCATAGAGGAGAGGGAGGAGGAAAAAGCGTCATTGCCCCTCCTTCCCCCCATCTCTTCTCGTCTTTTTTGTTTAAGTTAGTGAATAAGAGCATCTCCAGGATAGTCTCCAAATTTTAGCTAAAAAGCTATTATAGCAAACCACTTAAAAGGTGTTTCCTCCAGCAATGTTCTCTATTTTGGCTAATCTGAAATATTTTATTATTATTTTCTCTTTCTCTTTCTCCCTTTTTCTCTTGCAGATCAAATATATTAAAACAAAAGTAGAAACCCAACCCCACCAACCTCCCAAATGTCTCTATCTCTCTCTCCCTTTTTCTCTCTCCTCCTAGCCAAATTCTCTCTCCTCCTCTCTAGATGTAGAGAGCCAAAAGTTGGTTCTCCAAAATAGAGAGCCAAGTAGGGGGTCTGCTAGAGAATGATTTTCCTTCTTTTTAGCCAAAGTAGCTAGGGATGAGAGGATAGGAAGTCTATTGGAGATGCTCTAAGTCTACTAGGGAGGTTTGAATAAAAAAAAACCCCTTGTGGTAGTTTCTTTTGGGTCATGGTTGGATTGAAGTTCACTATCACCCCTTTTAATTTATGTTCTCAATCAAATCCTGCTCCCAAAACCCGCTCGCTAATGCTGCTCATGTTCACTAAATTTGATTCTACATCGTCTTTGACGGAGGTTGCTACAAATCACTAAATTATTCTTTGGCAAGATTGTTGTTTTCGTTTATTTATTCGCTCTTATGTGCATGTAGATTAATGGAAATCATATTTTCCCCATATCTATTATGGATGCAGTGATGGCTGTGGTCACGATGACACTTCTTCAGGTGGTGGTGGTAGGGTTCGTATAGTCTCATGGATTGTTTACGGTTTTGGTTATGTTGGGTTTGTGGGCATTGTTTGGACTTATGGTTAATTATGGTGATATGAGCTAGTAGTTTTAATGCGGCTTTTGTCCGCGTTTGTTTTGCTTTTAGCATATTAATTTGTTGCCTTATTGAAATTGGTGTTTTAGATGTCGTGTTGATGTTTTTGATTGTACCGTTGAAGTTTATCTAATGAAGTTTCTTTTTTATTAAAAAGAGAGAGAGAGAGATAGAGATTGGGACTTCAATAAAATAAAAAATAAAAAAGAGATTGGGTCATGAACACTCAGAGAAAAAAACTGCAATTTGGAAACTTTTTGCTATCGCTTATTTCATTTACTAAATTTTATGAACAAACAAACATAACCCATCATCTTTGATCAAATAAATAAATAAAATACAGAACCTCATCATAAAGAAAAGGGACAATGAATTACATAACCAATATTTATAAATAAAAAAACACAAATTTGAGATTCTTTCGTAAAGAAGAGGGCAATTCCAAATTCTGATTTGAATTTAGAGAAAAAAAGAGGCAAAAATTCTGATTTGAATTCTTGAAGCCTTTGATCCATGGCTTCTTGTAGGCAGAGAGAGGAGACAGGAGAAACAAAATTGTAGTAATTGTAGTCTAGGAAAAAAAAAAGGTAATTTGAAAAAAAATGAAAAAAAAAAATTCCAGAGAATGAAGCTATCTCGTATATGAAAGACAACATTCAAGGAAAAAAACTTCGCCCCCCGGCCCCCCAAAAAGACCATAGATCTTGACCTCTAACCCTGGAAAAAAAGAAAAAAAGAAAAAAGATGGCAATAATAAAAACATCTCAATAAAAAAAATTAGAGAGAAATAGAGACGAGAGATGATAGTTGAGAGGAGGTGAGAGAAGAGAGAATCAAAACAAAGAATTGCAGCTCCATAGATGCATTGATGAAATAAATCTACTTTCAGAATGGCACAGAGGGGTGTTGAAGTCACATGGGAGAATGAAAAGAAGAAAAAGAGACAATGAGAAGAAGGAGATGCTCTACGTAGAAAGCGAAAGGCGGAGGCGGAGGCTTCGAAACCCATGGTTCCGCTTGGGTTTATAAAACCCTCATTCATTAGATTGGTATCCGATCTAAATATGAGGCCTAACCAGTTCCAGCGTGCATTTAGGCCCACCAAACAACAGATAAAATTTTAATCTATTTTAATTGGAGAAGTCAGATCCAGTCCAACTCACCAAATATAACCTATATATTTTATAAAATAATCGTTCTAAATTAATGTACACTTGATAACATTTTGCTTATAAAAAAAACACAGTAGAAGCCAAAATGTCAATAAAGGAGACGTCATGTTTGCATGACTGGATAACCCTATATAGATATAGTTAAATCTTTGTTAATTAGCTTGTTATTAAAAAATGAGGAATAAGAAGGATGTGTGCTCTCCATGCGATACACAACTTAAGCACATGGTATGTTATGCATGGCACGCGCTGTCTGCACTTCCAGAATATTCTTAAATATTAATTAATTAATTAATTTTGTAATTTTGAGGAAATTATATAATAATAATAAAATGATGTCAACCTTTGGTTTCGAAAGCCAAAAGCTTGGGAAGTTATTGTTTATATTAACGTTCGTGGATAAACTCTGATTGGCTTGTTAGATCTTGTGCCTGATCCGTCGTCTGCATAATTCCCATTGCAAGAAGAGACTTGTAAAAGATAATTCTAGACAAAAATTTCAGCAACCACAAAATGGATCCTACTTGTTGAGGGTACATCGAAAGCGATTTTGCATAGGCTTATAAGGAATCAATTGATTTTGGAATGAAACGTCAACTTTCTTAATGGTATTAGAGAAGATTACTCACGTGTTGGGTTCAACGGCCACATGAACCCACACACGAGTATTTGTTCACATCGAAAAATAGGAATTTCAGTTGGACAACTCCCCCATTTCCAATTGACCTCAACTTGATCTAATAAATGAAATGAGTAGAATACTAACATTTACATTTCTCACCATGAATTTGATTTTTTCGAACGTCCAAAATGCTTTGGTATAGTACAGTTTTTACTTAACTACCTACAGGTTAATCCACCTGGATCTCTCTCCCAACAGAAGACATGTCACACATGCCCACACACACACGCAGTGGAAGTTGCCAAGTCATTTTGCCGACCATTTCTTATTGTAATCTAAATTTTATTTTATTTATAAACAAGACACTTTTATATAATTAATTAAAAATCAGTCACCTTCTACATTTAAATTTAAAAATGCCTCTGTCTATATATATGTATATATATGACATGATCATTTTCAATTTCTGAGCAAACTAGACATTTACACATCTCCAAATAATCACATCATGTTGGCTTTATCTCCTCCCTCGTTTTCAACCATTGGATGGCCCTTAGAGGATCCCAAAAGTCATGACCAGAACTACTTCTACAGGGATAGTTTTACGGATCAAATTGCAGAGTCATTTCTTCATATCCTTCCATCTCAGCTGCCACAAGTTGAGCCTGCTCGGTCCACACCATCCACAACTGTAAGCGGAGAGTACGCCGGCGTTTCCACCATGGTGAAGAAGCTTAACCATAATGCTAGTGAGCGTGATCGTCGACAGAAGATCAACAGCTTGTATTCTTCATTGCGTTCACTGCTTCCTGCAGATCAAATGGTACGTACGAAATTTATTAAGGCCACTCTTGATGTTTAGGATTGGATAACTCACTATGATATGAGGTGTGTTGAAAGAAGAAACGGAGGCCAACTTCAAAATTGTGTCCAAATTGAAGGTTGAAGATGAATTAGTCACAAAGGAATTGCATTCCTTCTAATCCCCACAAAATAGTAGGATATCAATACTTTATAATATATATTGTCCCTTCTAATCCGCGCAAAATGAAAAATCCTTCAACCCTCTCTTTATTTCTTACTTCAACGTACCTTGAATCTTATGAATTATCCAGTTCTCGAGTAAATTTCAGTATGGACATGAGAAAGTACTGAATCGTACTCACAATTTCTGAAACTATTTCCATATGCTATTGTTACAGAAGAAATTAAGCATTCCAAACACAATTTCGCGTGTGGTGAAGTACATACCAGAGCTCCAAAAGCAAGTGGAGGGACTAATTAGAAAGAGGGAGGAGCTTTTGGTAAGAATTTCTAAGCAAGAAGATCAGGAATTGCATGAAGAGAAGAAAATGAAAAGCACAGCTGGGAGCTCATTATCTGCCGTTTCAACTTACCGTCTTAACGACAGAGAAGTTGCGATTCAAATATCCACCTTTAAGACCCACAACAATCTATTATCTGAGATCTTGTTAAACTTGGAGGAGGAAGGGCTTCAAATACTAAATGCTTCTTCCTTTGAGTCCTCTGGAGAGAGGGTCTTTTATAATTTACATCTTCAGGTATTGTTGTACTCCATATATACTTAGCTTATTTCTATTGCTGTTTAGATTCAATCCATTCTGATATGTTTTTTTTATGTTTTTGTTTATGCATTATCGATTATACAGGTAGAAAGAAGTTATAGATTAGAATGTGAGAATTTAAAAGAGAAGCTCATGTCCTTCTATGCCTGAGAAAAGGAAAGAGTCATTTCCACAGCAGTTTTGGTGCTGACAGAATATGTTACCCCAATTGCTCTCTCCGCGTTCAATTGAAGTGTATGTGTATAGAAGGGCTACGGAGATATTAGTGTCAACCATGGGATCCCTTATGCTCCGTTTGGACGAAGGAATTGCAAATTGCATAGAATTTTAAAATGACGGAATTTAGATTTCCGTCATTTCAATTTCTGGCAATTGAAGATTTCAATGTTTGGATTTATGTATGTCGAATTTTGTAAATGACAGAAATTGAAAATTTCAATGTTTGGATAGCTCATGTAAATTATAAATGAAAGAAATTAAATATTTCGAAAGAACAAAAAAACTGATAACTGACATAGAAGGTATTCCTCGAAGTATGAAATAACATATCGTTTGATGAACTAAATAACTCAACTTAAACAAACAAAGCATATTAGCAAACCAAATCACTCCCCACGTGCAATGAACATCAGTAACATACTTTTTTTTTCTCCATTGGGAGTGACTATGGAATTAGAACTAGAAGCATTCAGCAATCAAGACCCTGATACTTCTTTTTCACTTGGCAAAAGACCAATGACCAGAGAAACTGAAAGGGCTTTGATTAAAAAGTTGCAAACAAAAGTATAGGAATAAATGATGAAATCAATGAATCACTATCATAAGACTTAATTTAAGTCCCAAAGAATGAAGGAGCACCTTGGCCAAGCTGCAGCTTACGAGCAAGTTGGTGTAGCTTACAATCAACATCTAATGGCTCACACAAAGCAATAAAGCTAACAAACAACTACAGAGCAAGTCGATAACACAAAGTGATAAAGCTAGCAAACAACTACAGAGCTGTACCATAAACACCAATCACACACCAATATCCATGGGCATAGAGTATTTTGTTAAAACTTCCCAAAAATCCAGCCACAGTGCTGCAAAGATCACAAAACCCATTCATAAATTTAGTCAAAAACACCCAATTTCGATAGCCATTCAGAAACCATGGTAACCCTAAATAAAAAAAATATAAATTGAAGGAGAGAAAGGCTTGAATACTAACCTTCAAACTGGATCCAAAGAGCCATGTAACCCAAGAAGAACTCCTTCTCCTTACTTCTCTGGCTATACTCAGTTTCAGGGGTTTTTTGCGCTTTTCTTTTTCTTTCTTTTTTTTAATGAAAAGTTTGGTGGGTTTTTTTTTATGTAAGTTTTGGCACACTAGAAAATATGAATTCCCGCACTACGGAAATTGTGAAATGACGCCTATTTTGGTGGAAATTAAACTCGGGAATTTGATACCTCAATTTCCATGATTTTTTCCACGCGTCATTTAATAAGTTCTGCGTTTAAGTTGCCAAACAAGGGAACTGTCAATTTCTCTTCTTCAATTCCCGACTTTTACCTAAATTCCGAGTTATTTTCCCTCATCCAAACGGAGGGTTAGTTAATTTAAATTTAAGTTAATATATTTCCATGTCATTTCCACATATCTAGTAGTCGGAATCAAAATAACAGTTGGATTCCGATTACGAACAACTTCATATAGAGGAATGAAATGTAAGTGGGGCATCACACAAAATTAGGAATTCAACTCCTTATTTGGAGGAATTGGACTCCTGAGTGAGAGATGATATTATAATTTCTAGAGAACTAATCCATCAGGAATCCTTTCTTTTTACACATTATATCCACACACAATTTTTAAAATTCCAGATTTGCCATATACTTTTACCCAACAATAAGGGAATATTAGTAATCAAGTTGGTTTCAATTTAGATTCATCAGAATTTAGTAAATAACTTATAAGGAATCAGTATCACTCCTACTCCAATACCATATGGTTTAATAAACAACTTTAATGAGAATCTGGATTCTAACACTCCTCAATCCAACTCATCCTCAATTCAATTACTCCTCACCCGATTACATATTAGTAAACATGCCATAAGTCTAACTTAGGATTACATTATAAAAATTAAAAATTAAAAATTAAAACCTACCTATAAGTTATGAACATAAATTAGAAGACTACCTATAAGTCATATACAAAAATAGACAAATAAAATTGTATGTTACCTATAAAAACAAGTACATAAAATACTATTACACATTGTCAAAAATATTAAAACAAACACATATATAATATACCTATGCAATAGGCTAGGACAATATACTTACAACATATGATAATATATCTACAAGAGTATATAATAATAATAATAATAATAATAATATCTACATTATTATTGCAGATCTCGTAATTATTGTCTTATAAATTATTTTTTACACGATTTATTCTTCAACGGTATAATAAGAACAACTAGATAATTTAATAATAATAATAATATCAGAAAATACAAAAAAGGAATGTAATCTTATTTGATAGAAAAGTTAAAGGACTTATATCAACGACAACAAATGCAAGGATTGAATCCAACTTATGTTCTCAATTTTAGACTTATCCCAAATTTCTTAATTAAAATATTAAAATAATACTGATTGTTGTTCCGCCAACAGTCAATCCTTCATTATACTTCCATAAACGAATAACACTATCAAATCTCAAGTCATGTTGAATGGCTCCAAACCGTGGTGTCCCTAAGCAATACTAATATTTGTGGAGGTTTCTTCCCAACATATCTGGGCTATGCTATAGGGAACATTTGTTTTTTTTTCTTCTTTTTTTTGGTATAAGATGCTGTTTGGGCCTAAAAGAATTCATATGCTAGCCCATTTCTCACAAAGAAGCCCAGGAATAGGGAAACAGAAGTCTGGGCTTTGATTCCAAAAGAGAAAGCCCAATCCACATCAGAAGCCCATGTTTACGAAATGGCAGATTTGGAAAAACATCAAAATTAGATGGCAATTGACCACTGAAGTAGATCGATAAAAAACTAAAAGAAGAATTGGATTGCGCCCAACTTCTAAATGCTCACCATGGATCACAAAGCCCAAAGTACAAAGTCAACAGACTCTTGAAAAATCTATTCTCAACTCACGTGATTGCCTGACTTTGAAGAGTCAACAATATCAACTATCACATAGAAGCTAGCAGAGAGTTAATGAAGGCAGGTATAAAAGGAAAACGTCTCTGAATCTCTGCCACCAAAAAATCAAAATCCCTTTCTATATAAATCTGTATTAGGGCAGGCATCATTTCCAAGCGATAAGGAGGTTGTATTTTCTAAAAAAGATAAGTAGGAAGCAGGGAGTTGTTCATCTGGAAGATCAAACTAACCATCATGGTAGATTAAACTCTTACAAAGAGCAGTTAAATTTATAAAAAAAAAAGGATTAGGTTTTCTTTCAAGAAAAGTAAGGAAGCGATTGCCTTAGAACTGACTGCCGATGGTTTATTTGCCATAATAGATAACATGCCTCTTTTCTTTAACATTTAAAATGAAAGATCTTGCTTTTAGAAAATCTGCCGCCCATTATTAAAAGATTAGAAGCCTCACTCCAGCATTTCCTATAAATATGAGAGAATGTGAATAGATCAAAAGACAGCAAAAAAAAACCAATCAAAAACAAAAACTCAAAATGATCACTTGATCCCAAAAACCTTCAAAACACTGAAGCAGCCAATAGCTCATTGAGCCACAAGAAACAAGTAAGCTACAATCCAGAATCTCTAACTTCAGTTCAGTTTTAGAGAAATAGTCATTCAAAACGAGATTTCTCTCGTTACAAATTTGGTTCAGCGTAAGCCAAATCAAGCAGAGTTCGGGTTTGACAAATATGAAAACCTTAACAAATTTATGGAGAGCTCTGATCAAGCAGAACAGGTACTACAGTGCAAGTCCAGCTCAGTAATCATCAAATCCAACCACTTCTGCCCCTTCTAGACTGAAGAGGTCCCAATTCTGCCCGTTCAAAAAGCTTTCCAGGGCTTGAAATAAATTAAAGCTCTGCCAAACTCGAACGTTGGTATCAATTTACAGCTGAAACTTGACAGTTGAAGGTGTTGATAGTCCAGTCCAGCACAGGCATACCCAATCCAGCCCGAATCAAAAGCATTTATCCATGCAGAAACTGAAGTCCAGAAGCTCTTTTTGTCTTTTTAGAGTTGGTCTTCCCTTTTGAGCTTTGTAAAAGGCAGTTCTACCTAAAACAGTTCACTTTCTTATCATTTATTATGGCCATGTACTGTGAAAAATTGTGAAATCCTCACCAGTCTGAGGCAAGAAAAGAACTTACTTGGGAGATATTCATCACCCAAATTCACAATCACTTGTTTAGAAATCAGTAACTTGGGGCGCAAGTTATTTATTTTCAAGAAGTCTATTAGAACTTGCATTGCTACCAGTTGCACGCTCGCACACCAAAGAAAGTTGACTTGTTGACTAGTCAATGGTTTTCAAGACAATGGAGAACTTTACCCTACCATCACAGGAACAAATCTAAAACATGTGAACAGATGCAAAATCATTAGTCAACTGAAGTGAAATTTCAATTAGGTCTATTATCCTATTGTTTCCTTTTGAGGGAGGAATCAATTTCATTATATTTTTAGGTCAAATTTATCTTTGCAGATTGTAGAATGACCAAGGTATGAAACAAAAAGGTTTATAAACTTGAACTGATCATTATGTACAAGAGCCTCATGTGAAAGCTATATTGATTTTCGTGTAAGCTAGATTGAATAACTATTTATTTTCGTTATAAAAGATTGTGTACAACGTTCATATCTTATTTGAGCTTTAGCTACAGTGGAGTGTACAGCATAAAATAAAGCTTCAGACTCCCTATTGAGTTTGTACCAAAATTGAGAATGGTTAGATTTTGAGTTTGTACTTAGCGGGAGCAAATGAAGCAACAAATTCAATATTTGCATAATAGAAAGTCTCTCAACAAATACAAATACAATTGCAAAGAATAAAACGAGAAACCTCTAAGTCGCACAGAGCTTGTGCAGAGATGCTAGTAACCAAGTTACCCTAAAACAATATTACACACAAGAAAAGTTAATTAAAAATATTAAGTTAAAATATATTTACTCA